AAGAGTGATTGGTTACATTATGTAACGTAAAGAGTGGTCTGCGTTTTGCTACAAATGCGTTTGTTTCAGGTTCGACAAATTGTAAATTATAAAAATGATTACATATATGATAAGATCTAATGTACAGTATGTGTACATTTCTACATAGGTAATATATATTATATATATATAATAATAATAATAATAATAATAATAATAATAATAATAATAACGTGCGATATTAACGTATTGTATGGCAGTGAGCATACGTACATGAATATACACACAGGCCACACACACCGTATATATATATATATATTATACATGTTAACTATATTCAAACACATATGTATATATGCGCGCGTGCGCGTTAAAAGAAAACTTACATTATTAGAACGGAGTATATACACACGTACACATACAAACGCATACTCGTAGAAAGAGAAACACTGATACATATACTCACGTATATAAGGGAAACGTGTAAAGATTAATTTTAGATATATTATGCAGAAGCATATTATACACGCATACCATGAGTTCTTTTATCGTGCGCTACTAAGCGCGATAATACGAAATAGCTTCTCGCTTGTAATGTAAATCGATATTTCTCTTTTCCTTGTACATATACATACAAAAGTCATTTTTTTCCTATGCTCGTCCTTATTCTTCTTCTTCTTCTTTTCTTCCTTCTTCATCTTCATCTTCCTCCTCTCTTTCTCTCTCTCTCTCTCTCTCTCTCTTCCATTCCTGTTTAACAGGTTGTCCGATTTCGTTAATCTCTGGTGGGTTGTGTTATTGTATTTACATGATAAAACGTAAATACAAGTGTAAGGAAAGAAATGATTCTTATCGATAAAATTGAAAGTGATTTTGTGTCGTTGCGAAAATGACGTGCGTTTTAATGGATCGCGACGCGCATATGACACGGTCATTACCATTCTGTAAATTGCTCGTAAAAGTAAATGAAAAAAAAAAGTTAGAAGGGAAGAAATAATACATTTTAAATTTATAATAATAATAATAATAATAATAATAATAATAATAATAATAAAAACGAAAGGTCAAAGCAAGAAAATCATGTAATTTTCATTTCCGTAAATTAGTTTCTTTTAAAAATCTTAGGATTATTTATATTTTTTAATTATCTAGGATAAATGGTAGAGTTATTAACCATTTTAAAGAGAGCGAGTTATGTATAATAAAAAGATATATACAGTTTTATTTATAAAAATAAGAGAATTTATATATATATACATATATTATATATAAGTTTCTATTATTTAACGATTATTTTTATGGTACCAATGTAAGCTACATTTATTTGATAATGGATCTCAACTCGGATTTGCTAATTTTCATTTTATCATAATACCTATAACAAATCTGATAATAAGTTAAATAGATTTCGTGGAACGTTGATACTAGAAAAAAATATACGCTGAATAGCCTATATACATCTTTGCGCGTTATCATAAAATAAAAAGACTGTAACCTATGTTCTACCCTGGATAATAACTCTACCGTTTACCTCAAAACAAAAAGAAAAAGAAATATAAGAATAATAGATAAAACCAGAAAACATTAGTTAGAACATTTACGTATAATAAAAGAACAAACAAAAAAAAGGCGAAATGATTGAATATGATTATAAAATAAAATGATATGCTTCATATTAACGAGGTCGTTGTTTCTTCCGTAATAATTCCGTATAGTCCGATAAAATTATAATTATTATTATCATCATTATCATTATTATTATTATTATTATTGTTAATCATATATAAAACTCTACGATGATTTTACTCTTGCTTTCTTAAGAACATTAATGGTAAAGTGTTTTAATGGTAAAACATTCTCATGATATTTTATGCGAAATAACACGCTCCATTAATTACTTAATCGCGAAAGCGACCACGCCATTTTAATAATAAGAAAGCAAGTGATCTCTTCTTAACAAGAACCTTTCAAAGAAAAATTTATCTCAAAGAAAATCAAATTGTATCCCTCTTTATAATAACCGACCATTCGTATATATAGATAGATAAACTTATTGTTAGAAGAATCTTTTTTTTTTTTTTTCTTTTTATATACACCTCTTATTTTTTACGAGCATTTTACAACGTTCTCGGCACAATATCTACTGTCTCGTTCGATTTAAAATTCACTCTAGTTGTAATAACAAATATTTTTTTTATCTTTTTTCTTTATTTAACCATAAGAAAACGTAACCAAGATTGTTATTATTTTTCCCGAACCCTACGATCGATGGGATTAGAGGAAATTGAAGGTGAGAGTTAGATAGTATCGAATTAAGGGAATAAATGAACAGTAATGAAGGAGAAAGAGAAAGAGAGAGAAAGTTAATGGTTTCGAATGATATGGGAAAATATTTTCTTCCACGTTAGTAACGGTATCACTAAGTGATCGGTTTAATGAGATCTCGTGATTAGTGTAGATTCGATTATTTAGCGAGAAATACGCTCGATAATACGTTAGGCGAGAGAGAATGTATTTGTAAGATCATTTTATTGTGATTTAACGTTACAAGGTTTTATACGAAATCGTATAGAACGATCGTGCATACTGTGTATGCTGAACATTTTGTACATTGCCTAATAAAAAGGATATATCATCTTTTATATTATAATATAGCTTATTTTTATTTATTTATATAAATATAAATATATCCCGAAATGAATCGTTACAAAATTGTATTGTTATAATATCATATGCCTATATAATAATGTAATTAAAGTAATGTGATATATTTTTGTAATTAATATATTCGAAGTAATATATTTATTTTTTTTATCTGTAAGAAGTAATCTCTTTGGAACGTAACAGGTAATCTCTATGAATATGTATTATATTTATATATGCTGAAATGAATTGTGACAACATTTTGTATCCATATATATATATATATATATATATATATATTTATATAATGTGTTATTATATAATAATATATAATATTTTTATAATTAATATATTTAAAGTAATATATTTATTTTGTTATCTTTAACAGGTAATCTCTATGGGACGTGACACGCAATTATGTATACACATGAAATATATGGAATTACCCACACGTGTGTATGGTCCAGCTTAAAAAGGGTGCCGGCGTCTAGCTGGCGACACGCGAACTTCCATATGTTTATTACGTATACACACATGTACGTATCCATACACATACCACATAAAATAGAGGTAAAAGCGTTATGTTTTACTACTAGTCGATAATACTTGTATTCACTTTTACCTGATTAACCTAAGTTCAATGAATATTTCAAGCGTCTTTGAATAAACGCTGTGACCTATTTCATGGTTCAAAATGAATGGCCGACTATAGTTTTCCATTTTTCGTATAACACTAAATAGTTAGTTAATAGTTAAAATAAAAAATATATTTTAAACACTAAGTAGATTTTTTTTCTTAACGGTATAAAAATGTACTTATATACAATTCAAATGCAATATTTATGACATAATATAATTGTGTTTATAATTGAACTATTTTTTATTTTCTTGTGTCAATTTTCAAAGAAATATTTTTAAATTTGCAAGATATATTTATGAATAATAAAAATATCTTACATTTGTACGATTATCACATAACACGTAATATCTAATTTATTAAAAAAGCACGAAAATTATTATCAAAATTGATCGAGACTGATTTTACTTTTTTACTATATTGTTAAAAAAAAAAGAATCGCATCCGTGGTATAAATTATTTATATTATCATTTCAATAATAATTACTTTCCGCGTTGATTATTGAGAGATAGTATAATTGAAAATATATTTAATTACTTTAAAAATCAATATAATTGTTTTATCGCAGATGGCAGCACATATTACTAACAATTATTCATCCATATCTAATTTATAGTTTTGAAATACGATTATTAGTATAGATTTCATGCAGAACGTGGGTATCCTCTTATTGTAAAGATCAAAGTTTTACGGATGACCCGAGGGTAAAGGTCATCAAGTGACTTTTTTAAATAAGTTTTCTTTTCTTCTCTCTTTTGGTCTGTTTGAGTGGTCCATCCCAGTTTATGATAGAAACGACGTAGAAATTCTATTGTAAGAAGAATGACATAATATTATAGAAGGTCCTTTGAAGAGACATCTTTACGGTATGCATTCATGCACATTAATGTGCGCGTCCGTTAACTTTCCGATAAGATGTTACGATAATAGCTATACATTAATGTACACAAATATACATACACATACACATAAACAGTATTATAAATACTAAACTATCTTAAGTGTTTGCTATTTCAGTCTCTTGTACTTATCACATTTCGAAGCTAAGGAAATGAAACTATTTTCGAAATAAATAATCGAGTAAAATCATATGAATGGGTAAAAGAAGAATCGTTAGTCCATCGCGTTCGACTTATCAACTCGATTGTTTCTTCGAGAGGTCAAGCGACTTTTTATCGAATTTCCCGAAGGACGAGGATGCCTTGTATTGTGTGTGGCCTCATGAAAATTCAGACGTCGTCGAGACGATGTCCAAAGTCATTTAGAAAAAAAAGTTTCGTATGCATGAAATCATACGGCTATCTGTTGTTTATTCTTTGACATGAGTAAGGAAGAACCGTAAAGGGGGAAGCAATTTTATTTTGCGATTTCCTAGTTCTCTTCGTTCATTAGAAACGATTATAGTTGTAGTAGTAAAGAAATGGTAATAGTAGTAGTAGTAGTAAGAAGAGACTACTAGAGTTCAGTAGTAGTAATAGTAGTAGGAAGTGTTAGTAACGAGTCACGGTAGGAGATGCATACTATGTGTATGTGTATATATATGTGTATGCATGTGAAGTAATGTTTGCACGTCGATGCTTTCATTCGCCGTCGTTCGGTCGATAGAGCCTTCTCTCTCTCTCTCTTGCTGGGGTTTACTCGACAGTGTTCGTTCCTTCTCGGATTGTTTCGGTACGTAAGAGCACTGTGCTTTGGAGTAGGGGAAGCGATTGCGAGAGGGTAGTGGTTGCGTGGTTCACCACTTAGCGATCAGTCGTCTCTCGAACGTCGGAGCGATAATATATTGTCCGAAGTTTTTCCGCACGCGGATCTCGCGTTTTTTTCTCTCTCTCCCTTTTTTCACTTCGCACACCCTTCCTTATTTTAATATTTTTTTGTTTTTGTTAATCTTTATTATATCTAATAGATCTATATTTTTCTCCTCGTCAATTTTTTTTTATTATTTCTTCCTTTTACAATATTCCGCTTGGACTTTATCGAACATATTTTTCTCTTTCTTTCTTTCACTTTTTTCTCTCTCTCTCTCTCTTCTTCTTTTTACCCCTCATCTTTAAGCTGGACATCAAAAGGGGTACACATTGAGAGTTACAAAAAGCGTGTAAAAAAGTTCGATGACGTTGTCACGCCATTTGGTCGGTCTTTGAACATCGATTGTCCCTTAGATCGGAAAAAAGTGCATACGGTAGATAGAAGAGTGCAAGGAAAAGTGCATCGAGGGAAAGATTGAGTACTAGAGCTAATTACGAGGGTACATAAATCTGCGAAGAAAACGACATTTGTTTCGTCAAGTTCAACGATACTTATTATTTCCTTTTTTTTTTTTGTTATTTTTATTTTTCGTTTTTTAATTGATAGCTTAGGGCCGTTTAGCATACATATTGGATCCTATAGGGAAAACTTTAGCTTTTCTTTTTTATCTACAAAATTCGATATCAACGAAAATGATCTTTCGCGTTCGAAGTAACTAACAATAATTTTTTTCTTTACATTGTAATATTCGAAAATCTTGAGAAAAAAAATCTCGTTTATTATTCAGCATGGGTCCAAGATATAATGGCTGTTTAAAATATTTGGAAAAATGCCATGAAAAAGCGTTTCACTCTGCGTCTAGACTTACCCCATTCAACAAGCATTAATACTAAACCTACCACGCGTGATCGCGTTTTATAATTTAAAAAAGAATGCGGTGAAAACGCATGTTATGTATCATACATTATTCTTTTATAAATATAAAGGAAAATATATTATTCACTATACAATTGGTTAAAATCTCATTCTCTATTAAAATATAGGTATTTTTTAAAGCGGTCATTTGACCACTCACAGTAGAAATAGGCATACATGAAGTGTTGGTAGGTTTAGTGTTAAATTATTATCGTACCAAGAATCACGTTTCTCGATCTACATAAATCGTGATTTATTAAGTACCCTATATCAAAATATTTGCGTCTTTTGCAAACGAAAATAATATTATAATATTTCGAATGTCAAACGAATGTCATTTATCAGAAATATATTATTATCTATTTTTAACGCGTTTTATTTCTTTTTACATTAATTGCAGGCCGAAGGCCAATGATAAGTGACCGCAAAATATATGGTACGATAAACTAAGCAAACTGTTTCTTTCTTTCTTTCATCGAATTTCATGTTGACTATTTATCCGGAATAATAGGTAATATTGACCGAAAGAATTATCGAATTTTTCGATATATAGTATGTGTAGGTTCGTGAGATAAAAACTGTAGCTTCACTGAGAGAATCGTGATATGGTTTATTAGGGGAATCGTTTACGTTGATCGATAGGGTGGATATATTACAAGTTTAACTTATGGGGTTAATTTTATTCCTCCCTTAATCGTTACATAAACAAACCTCGGTATTTATCATATTCCTGTTGACATTTGATCGTGCTCAATTAAAAACTAGGTTTATTATGTAAAAAGAAAAACTAGAATGATGCAGTATATATGCAATGTACTATTCCATATATATTGATATGTGCGTATGTATGTATATATATATATACACATTTGTTTGCATTTCAGTAATTAAAATGAAAACTTTTGCTTGAGGAAATCGAGCTCGCAGAGGGTAGATTATAAAACGGATGCGGGCGTCATGTCATACTAGTATTGATAGCAACTAGGTCGTACGTTTGTTTCTGAATTTAGCTTGATTGTTACCTTCTTTCATTATTCTTGCCCAAAATATAGCAACAGATGTTTATTTCGAATAATAAACGCGATGATTTTATTATATAATTGCGATTGATTCGTTCGATTCCATTTATCGAGATTATTTTTTTTGTATATCCACATGGTTAATTTATTTTCCACTTGACTTTTATATTTTTTTCTTGGAAATTACTCGTTCGTAGGTGAAACGATTACAATCTTTAGAATAATAAATGTTACAGTCGATAATAATTATGTATGCATATATGTTTGTAAGGACATAAAATAGCAGCTTTGAAAGTCAATAAGAGAGACGTGACTTAGGAGATATTGTTTTTTTTTTTTATGTTATTTTATTCTAGGCTTTTTTTTTTGTTAAGTGATCGATAAAACGATTGACGTATTTAATTCGCGAACAGAACAATGGCAAAGTTCCCTTGGCGTGTCCATTGTGTGGCTGAACAAATTACTCGGTAGGATGGTAATTAATTAATTGAAGATTGCAAATAGTATAGTAATTTTAATTATTCTATCGAAACTTCATACGATTAAATATAAATTATATTTAAACAAATCTATGTGATATACGATGTCAAAAATTCATTTGAAAATTCATCGAATTTTTGTTTGATATATTTGTTCTAACTCTCGCAGGAATACTTGTTATATGTGTTAAAAATATTTTATTTTATCGTATAAGTATTACACGTAATTATCTATTAGAACTGACTATCGTAATCGCAATAGATCTTTTTTAACTAGGTGTATAACTCATTAATTAGTAAGAACATTTAGTACTTAGCGCATGAAATAAGTTTAAATATATGCAGTTAGTTAATGAATAAAAAAATCGACATATTTCATTGATATTAAATTTTATTAATTTTATGATATTTACAGAATGAATATTTCATTATAAAATTTCTGAAATTGCGTTACAAAACACAAAAGTATATTTACCAATATAAGATAAACAATAATCTAAATTTGAAATAGAATTATATATATATTTAAATATTAAAAATATATTTATTGTAATCAGATTTATTATTGAAATTATTAAAATAGCTTAATCTTCTCGTATTATTGTAGGAACCTTATATTTATGTCTCTCAGTAACGTATTAATTAGAATTCAATAAGAGCTTGTTTTGTCACAATTCATAATAGTTTATATTTGAAAAAACAATTTGGCTTAAAATAGTCCATATCTAAATTTAGATTTAACTTCATGGAAAGATCTTCAGCACAAGTAGGTAATAGATTTAACACAAAGGTTAAGGAGACTGGTCTTTTTAATAGTTTCACTTGTTAGTGCAAATTGTGCATTAAATAACTAGAATACGCGTGGATGTTAAAAAAGAGTTGACACGAATGTAATGAAAACGATATGAATTAAATGGAAATATAAATAATAACTCGTGAAAAGCCATTTATGGCTTCCTTCGTCCGATTTTATTCTTTTACATAGAACCTTTTAGAAACGAGTACGGTAACGAATACAGAAAAACGAGAGAGAGAGTAAAAGAAAGAGATAACGAGTTTTATTGAAAAGATATATAATCGACTTAACCAAGAGCAGAGGGCTCAGGAAAGCTTATATTTCTGTAACTTGTTATATGAAAAACCGTGATTATTCGTTTGTGACGTCAAACGTTCATCAAATCCATCCAATTTCAACTTAATCGCAGTAATTTCGATCAAGCTTTATTATTGAAAACTTTAAATCATTTTAGGTTAAATAGAAGTAGTCACGTATACATTTAGATAGAGTTACTAGATGTGATTAATAATGAAATGATTATTTTAGAAAAATTACACATCGAAATAGTTGAATAGTATTTGTTTATATTTTAGATTTGATTTTCGTGTGATTATCGATTTTTGAATATTGACGAATCGTTTTTATTTGTACGTAATTCATTTCGAGAAATATGCTAAACACTAGTGAATAATTAATACAACAAATAATTTGTTTCGTATAAAATTTCTACCTTTTTGTAACATAAAACATTTACTTCTGAGAATCCTTAGATTCGTATTCTTCGAGTTAAATAAGTAAGTACTTCTTATAATAGTCTACTTACATTTAACATGTAGGAACTGTAGTCTTTTAATTAATTAATTTCATGCCACTTATAAACTTTCACATCTGTATCTCAATCTTCAAATTTAACATCGTTAGATTTTTTTCTTTTTAGAGCATTGAAATCATAGAGTGTCAGAAATTTTCCACCTATACCGCAAACATGATATAGCATATTACTGCAACATGTGTTATAATAACCTCAGGAATAACACCGACGTGCACAATTTACTAATTCAACAGTTTGAAGATAATAATGATGCATCAAAACAAACGATCAGCTTGTCGAATATGTTTTACAATCTAAAATTTCAATAATTCATTTTTGTTCGTTTACATTAAAGTCGATAACAACCAAAGTCATTTTGTTAATAACATTTCTTATTATTTATATATTAAAATAACATAGTTTTAATTTAGTCATATTCTCTTCAAATCTAAAATTCGAACATTTCGATTTAGTTATGGAAACAATAAAGTGATCTACTTTACGACAGCTAGTTTATAATACAACCATCTGTAATAAACTACGAGCATTTTCATAACTTTTCATCTCTTTCATTCTTTCTATCTTTATTTCACTCTTGTTAGCAGATTTTGTCGATATTATATCTCGGGTGGAAACTCGTTAGAAAGTGGGCCATCGTATTCCGTACGAAAATTACAGCTTTGAATGTATCAACTAGAACCGTTAAACATACGGGGATTTAGGAAACGAAAAGCATTCTAGTTCGACTAATTAAAGAGCGTTAATATTTGAATTACCTTTTACGATTCGCATAGATATCAAGAGTAAATGTGATTAATTGAAAATTGTTCTTCTTATGATTATTACCAAACTTATAAATTTTTGATTTTATTTTTACTTTGAATAATTTTCATTGAAAAATGAAAATATATATTAATTGTCGTACACTCTTTTCGTAAATTCTACTTTGGATTTCGATCTTTTAGGATTTTTTTTTTAAATAAATAAATAATAATAAAATATTTTATATTATATATTTGTGGTATATATAGATAAAAAATAAATATATAAATAAATAAAATAGTTATATACATTTTTCACGTAGTGATTTTCTTCTCATCATTTTCATATTTTTTTGTTTATTTATTTAAACAGGAAGAGTAACGTTAGGAAGAGTATGAATATTGTAAGTCTAATAAAAAAGAATGATATCCATTACGTGGATAGATTTTAATTATTCGATAGGTGTATATATGAGTTCGGGAAGAGGGATGAAAAGGAAAAGCATCGTTTTCGATTAATTCAATGCGTATCAGCAAATTCACGCAACAAGTCCTACGTTAATTAATTTTTACTCTAGTTTTTTCAATTTGTCGCGCCGTTGGCGACCGATCGTGGGATTCGAAGACACTTTTAATAAAAAGTATACACAAAAAATATGTTTTCCGATGGAATATATTGTGTAATAATGTATATATGTTAAAAGATTGGAATATCAAAACTGAGCTAACCAAATGATGAACAAGTGTATTCAATTAAATTAAATTTTTAAAAAATATTAAATTCTTTTAAAGTTTAATAGAAAGCTGCAAATTTATATATTAAAACAGCTATAAATCCTTGAAATTATGCTGATTATTGATAAAATGAAAAATTTTAATATATTTGAACTAATCTTATTTAATATATTTAATTAACTTGGTTGTCATCAATTGCATAGCGTATAAATATAACATCATTAAACAGTAAATAACAAATGTAAAAGTTCTCACAGTTACATTATTACTTAACTTCTATTTATTTGATTAATATTTTTATTAATTGATGGTAAGTAAATTGTAAATTAAATGATTAGTATCCATGAATATTATGTTTAGAATAAATAATAAAACGTTAGTATGAAATTGCATATTGTTTAAATTTGTTTTTTTAATTATTTTTGTTTACTGTAACAGTTTGTTATATATTAATATTTTATTATAATTATTGACAAATGATTAAATTAACAAATATTTATATAAAACATTTACAGTTTTTGTATTAATCGATGTAATACTTTTGATTTATCTTAAAGTATCGACGAAAAGAAGTTATAAAAACTCTAACCTTATTAATTAAATTGAAAATAATATACTATAAATAACGAATACCATTTAGATAGGTATAGAAGCAAAAATTGTAAATAATTACACGGGATAATGTGTTCGAAAATTGTTGTGAGAGTACGTTATAATAATTTTAGATTTTATTAAAAGAAAAAAAAACAAAAAGAAAAAGAAAAACAAATATAAGAAGAATAATTAAATACATTGGAAATGATTTAATATAAAACGTGTTTTCGAGTACGTGTGATCGGTACGCGATCGAAGCGTTCCAAAAATAGTAGCCCTTTGTTTATATTCCTTCGGGTGCAGCTTTAACTAAAAATGAAGAAAAAGAACGTTAGGCGAAGGAAGAGAAGGAGGTACGAAGGGTTGGGAGTGGTGGCTTATCGACGAAGCATTAAATTCTGCAGAATCGATGATGCTCTCGGGGGCGCGTCGACATCTTGGATCAACGTTAAATTCTTCCTAACGTGAGCTCGCGGCTACGATCGATGATCCTTAGGCCGATTATTGATATATTGGTGACGCAACATGTTATCGGAATCTGCAGTTCAAAAATTACATTTCAAGAAGAGGCTGAAAATCACCGATTTACCTGATATATCGAAGATTAATGCGCGCTCTCGGATGATAAAATGAGCAAGAGCGTGGAATTGCTTGCTGAATCGGAGGACAGTGAACAAATACCAGTCGGTGAGTAAGTAACCAAGTCGTTGGATCTTACGATGAAACGATCAATCTTATTTATATTATTTTCTTTTCTTTAAAGAGGACATTTTGGTCAAAATTTTTCGATAAATTGATATTACGGATCTAATTGATGTTGTAGGGATTCATCGATGCAAGCAGTAAACCGTTTCAAAAAAACAAAAGGAAAAGTTTTGTATTATGCAGTTTTATAATATATATCTGTTCGTTTCGGATGGATAAATATATTCGATATACGTAATTAATACGATTTATTTTATTTTTTTTTTTGTTTTACTTCGGACCATACACGCCAATCATACGCAGTAAGAATATATCTGAATTTTATTTTTAAATCTGTCAAAAAGAAACTGAAATAGTCACTTTAAGTGAGACACAAGGAACGTTTTAGAGACGTCATATTGAAGTCATCTTTTTTATTGTTAAAAATTGTTATTTCTTTTTGATAAATTTGTTTTGTTTTCTATCAATTAAAAGTGTAATGATAAGATATAAAAATAATTTCAATTATAACTTATGGTTTTTATTGAAAACAATGGCCAGAATGACCTCTTCTTTTGATATAATATATTCGAAACAAATAAATATATTAAATATTAAATTTTTTAATGAATTATTTCATTAATGGGAGTTTCAATTATTTTTTTAATGTGTTTCATTATTGGTAAACCTTATTGACTTTAATTATATTGTAAGGTTTATAAAATTTAGAAATGTTTAAAAATAAACGACTTTGGAAATATCCAAGCTATAATAAACTCGTGAATCATTTGAAAATCAGTTCAATAACAGTGGAAACTTTTAACCAAATAACAATTTACATTGAGTTACGTGCAATACATCTACATAATCAAGAATATATTGAAGCAGACTATATAAAAATCGTTTGATAGATTAAATCGTTAATAATCGAACCTTGATCATTTTCACGAATCATACTAATTCTTGGCGAATAGATGTTATGTTTGAGACGGAAAAATATATCTTGGCGAAAAGCCAACTATTATCGTACGATTTCAATATAGGATGCATCAATACATTTTGTTCCTTGTTATTAGAAAATATGAGAAATCGTTTGATGACGTATTTTTTAATAATATTAAAAATTTAATTTATTTAAAAAAGTATATATACCTATATAATAAATATTATATAAAATTAATAATATTATTATAATTAGAAAATATATACAAATATATTTATATATAATTAATATAATGTAAAAATATAATTCAATTTTTATATTTTTAATAAATACAGAGTTTCTCGATTCTATACATAAGATTCATTGTAACATTATACAACTTTATACTACACAGTATATATAAATTAAACATTTTTTGCATTAATATGCCATATGAAATTTATTTTAAAGTGATACATTTTTAATAAATATAGTTTCTCTGAATTGTATACACAACTCAATGTAACAGTATACAATTTTATACAACACGATACCACTTTGCTACACAAGTAACCAACTCTGATCCTTTTTGACTTTTTAAAATCCTTTATATGCATATTCCTATGTTTACACTAATGTTAATATTTTCACCGACCCCCACTAAACACACATTTATTATATATCACTCGTGCCTTGACATACTTATATATAACAAATTCTATTACTTATTTCATACAATGAATTATAGAAAGTAATATTTCAAAATGATTAATTTATTTAACAATTGCATTACTTAATACATAAAATGACCTCAAAAATAATATCTCCAAATAATTGATTTATATTACGCTATCTTAAATATTTCTTATTTAAATTTAAACTCACATCTCTCTTATCTTCTAACTTGGTCATTACGTTTCGGGCAAACAAAATATTCTAGTCGATATTTTCTGTGACTATTTCAAAAAAGGTTAATTCTTAAAATGGAACACGAGAAGGTCCCTGCACAATTGTGTCAGTTTTTTAACGACGTGCTTACGAATTTACGCTTCACATTGAAGTTTTATTTCTGAACTTGGAACTGCTCAGAATCGTACACACACATATAATATATATATATATATATACATACATACATATATATATATATAGATTCTCGTTTTTATTTTCATTGGATCAGCATGTCTACAGTATTGAACGGCAATGCGATATTAGAGACACCTTATCTTATATGATCTTGGAAGGAAGGTCAAAGGTAGCAGCTCTAAGATTAAGCTTCGAAGAGCAAAGTAGTAGTAGTAGAAATAATTTCTATCCTCTTTGTGTTTTTTCTTATTGATCCGTTATGGAAAAGAGTCATTCAATTTTTCGATAGAACGAATGTGTCTGTGTAAATTCTCGTTTCTCTTATTTTCTATGTAAGCTAGTTCGTCCCCCCCATCACGTTTTTTTATTCTTTCTTTCATAATTTTTCATCATTTAATTTAAACTCAAACAAGAGATATCTATTTTAGCCTTTATTAAAACACACATCACATTACTTTGAAAAATCATATATTTAAGCATATGTGTATATGTTGTATATTTCAAATTTGTAATATTTTTTCAAATCATATTAACATTTTTTTTAACGCTAAGAAGCTTACTAGCATTTTATTTTTATATAATGTCATTCCTTTCATCGGATAAAAAGGAAGCATTAGATTTATAAAATATTATATTACCTACGGAACTTATATCTTATAAAATAAATCCTTTGTTTTCCTATTGATTCCTGGAAAAGTATTTACTAATCCTAATCCGGCCTTACTCCCCGTCCATTTTCCATTTTATAGAAAATTATTTGATTAACAAATTATATACAATTAATATACTTGTTTATATAAAATATTAAAAAATTGTAAATTAATATAATAATTAATTCATATTCGAAGATTAATATTTATTAATTTTCACTTTACATAATTCTCTTTTTATAGATAGGACAAAGTAATTTAAGTTATAGAGAAGTTAACTCCTTATTTCACAGAAATTCTTTTACGTGGACAGAGCTGTTCGAAAATAGTTTAAGGCAAGTCGTTCGACTCCCTTATTCTCGATTTTTCACTGCTAGCTTTTTGCTGCTGGCTTTTTTTTCCGTTGCTAGAATCAAACGAGTTTATTTATTTAGCTGTAAGAGATTGGTACGACGATTCGATCGTGCCTGTTGTAAGATGTTTCGTGTTACCGAAAGCAGAAAAAGAAAGAAAAACAAAAAACAGAAAAAAACTTGCATTATTCTGAGTTTCATTATATTAACCACGCGTATTTTTTTCATTCGGCAAAACGTGTTTTCCTTCCATTTATCGCGAATTATCGAGCTTGTTAAAGCGATGAAAAATTCTACTGGGGAATCCTTTGAAAAAGCTCTCCTCATTTCCGATATTACGTCTTCCGTGTTGCCAGTCGATGGCATGCAAGATTAATGAGGCAGATTTTTTACGTACAAATATCTACAAGAGAGAGAGAGAGAGAGAGAGAGGGAGAGAGAAAGGTGATTTGTAGGATATATTAAAAAGTTGATCTAATCTGTTAAAAGATAACATTTTAATTTAATAGAGAGAAAGAGGCACGACGAAGTCCTTCGTAATTTCGTGTTATCGTATCGCATTGTGTTATATAAATAAAAGGAATGGAATAACATAATAATCAAGTATATGATATTCGAGTTGGTAAGTGTTAGAAGAAAATGGAATATACGTGGTGGTTAGGTAGTATATTTTTTTTTAATTACGAAATGATGTTTCTGTTTTATTGAAAATTCAAAATGGCGGTGTTTATAAGATGAAAATTAATTTTTTTCATTGGACTTATTTCCAAAGTGACTCTATGCATACGTATTTACACTTAGCTAATTAAAAAAAAAAAGAACCACAACTACAAGCTACAATTTGTATTGTGATCTACATATTAATAACATTATTGATTTGTATTTTTTATGTAGAAAGAATTAAAAAAAATTAATTACAGATAAAAATATATTAAGAAAAATTAATACGATTTCTTTATAATCGATTTGATTTGTTTTTTCTATAAGTTAGCAGGAAAAAAAACGTATAAGTAAATCTGGCTGTTCTATGGAATTAGAATTCTAGTGAAGAGGCTTAATTTTTTCACAATAGGCACGACCGACGTAGTTCACGTTAATGGCTGATATTATTTAAAATATTCTTGCAGAATTTTCATTCTTCCCTTTGTATTAGTAATGCGTTATGAATTTTAAAAAAGTATTTAAAATATCGTCATTTTGAAATTAGAAATTGGTTCGAATTAGAACTATTCGTGGATTATTATGGCATGTACAATAATTCAATTTTTAATATAAAATTCAAGTCATCCTCGTTGAAAATAATTATATTTACACTGTAGAACTGATATGTGCTTGCTTACGCGCATGTGCACATACACACACACACACACACACACACACACAGAAACATACATGGCCATACGTATGAATATGCATGCGTTGAAATACATTGCATATAGATGTAGTATTCTTCAAGATAGATGGAAATATTTTTATTAAATATACACCAATTAAAATAATCTTCCTTCGTCATTAATCCTTGTTGACTGTTTCCCCAAACGAAATAAATCATTGTTATGTCTGACATTAGATTAGATTTTCTTCGTAGAGTTAGAATATATTTCCATATTGTATATTCAATTTTTATACAAAAAAATGTCTAAATTAATGAAAATAATCGTTATTTTGAAATCATAATAACTGCTTTTTATATCATTGTTGCACAAATAATTTCATTTATTAATATAAATTGTCCGATCAATCATCAATCCAATAATCGTTTAGATGCTAGACCGAACACGAAGAAATTACATGAACACGCATATACACGTACAAACATATACATATTGAAAAAAAAAAAAAAAACAATACACATTTAAATATTATAAACGTGAAAAAAAAAGCAGAATTTTGATTTTAACATGAAACACCAGAGGAACTACTCCCTGCGATCGTGGCTAAAAAAATGAAAAGAAAAAGAAAAGTAAAAGATACGAAAAGGGGAAAACTAAAGAGAAAAATATGCTTGTGGATCGCATGTTCAGATAACACTACAGAAGAAAGATCCAGACTGAATTTGAACGGGAGCAGACAGCTCTCGAAAAGCGCCACGGAGCTCCGGGACAACGATATCGAGAAACTCTCGCCGTCTAGGCGTGGCGAGGTTGTTGGTGAGTCCGGGGTGATACATCACCACCGGCATCATCGGCACGCAACGTCGGTGGCACAACGCACGCATACCTTCTTTGCAACATTGAAGAGCCGTTGGGCTCGTAGCCGTAGCAAAGAAAGAAAAAAATCCAAGGATGGTGGTGGTGGTGGTGGTGGTGGTCTTGGAGTCCCATCGACCCAAGAGGCAACAACAACAACAACCTACAAAACTCCTGGAATCGAATCTGATTATGCGGCTGATTATTCTTCTGAACATAGCAGAAGTTCATCTGCCACGCAAAGTCCAGCAAGACATTGTCTCAAACACCCAGGTATATTTTGGAATATAACCTATTATTATCCAATCTCATTGTGAATATTTTCATTGGTGATTGTTTTGTGGAAAAATATATAAATACTACAAATGGATTATCTATTAATAAAAACAACTTCAGAATCACCATTGACACGATCAGGAAGAGACAAAATTTTAACCATGCAAGAGGATAGTCCTGGCAAATGCAGCGATGCATCTTCGAAGGGATCCTTGAATCGTCAGAGTTTCAAGGACGTTCATATCAGCGAGGATGCACGTGGTTCGAATCAGGACGGTGCTTACGTTCAAGACGAAATTATAAGGAGGAGGGAATTAGCGTTAAGACAACACGCTTTCTTTCAATTACGTCTTCACATCAGGAGAGGTGCCAATCTGGTAGCCATGGACAGATGTGGTAAAGGACTCATTTCGAAGGATTATTATTATCTTCGGCTTTTATAACTAAAGGAATCTGATATAAAATGATATCGTAGGTGCTAGCGATCCGTATGTGAAGATCAAGTCTTCTGGAAGGTTGTTGCATAAATCACGAACGGTTCATCGGGATTTAAATCCAGTTTGGGATGAAAGTGTCACTCTGCCAATAGAAGATCCTTTTCAACCGTTAACTATCAAGGTAGGTATAATATTATCATCAATATTTCTTTTTATCCTCGTTAATTAATTCGTTTATTAAGTTAGTTCCTTTGCCATTCGTCTTACTCACAATCAATATCAAATAATATATATTTGATTGAACAGAGCAGATAGAAAATCAGAGTATCGATCGTTTGATCTGCCTCTCTTGATATTTTTTGTCGACTAGCAAACGACCTTCGACGTTTCGACAGGTCTTCGATTACGACTGGGGCCTCCAGGATGACTTTATGGGAGCTGCTCAATTAGACTTGACGCAGTTTGATCTAGGTAATCCGCAAGATGTAACCCTGGAATTAAAAGATCCAGCCAGGCCGAAACAACATTTGGGTGAAGTCTACCTCACTGGTACACTTTGGCCGAGAAATCAACAGGAGAAGGAACAGGTATTTCCTTTATTAAATTTTATCATTTCATTCTAAAATTATAAGTAACATTTTCATCGTTCTCTCTTTATTTCTTAAAAAAAAGAAAAAACATCAGAACGTATGGAGCAAACTGTTTCGATGTTAGATTCTGCATATTAAAACAATAAAACAAATTTATATAAACATACGTCCCAGTTGACATTGTTTTCAAGCTAAAGCGAGTTTCTTCTTTAATAAACTCTTATCTTTTTACTTTCACAAAAGATGTGAACACAAAGAGACGTTTTACCATTGGCTGTCTCACCTCTAGGTATTGTTCTTTTATTTCTTCAGGTATTGTTTGGATTTACAGAAAAGTCTTGTTCAATTTTCTTTTCGAACTATTTCAACATTGTCGACGAATGTTCTATATGCGATAGATCTAAGATAATCTTAGAAAGTATTAATAATTTATTAGATTCAAATTGGACATTCTAGCAACCAAGGAAATAGTATTTTCATCTATCGATTTATTCGAAAATTGTTCATTCAAAAATAATCTCCCAATTCGATTAATATACATGAGATTGGTAAGAAGAAGTTTTGACAGTATAAAAATACAAAATTTAACGTTGACTTCTGTTCGGAAATAAATAAATGGAATTAATTCAACTACTCTTACATTTCGATAGAATAACCGACATAAACTAATATAAACAATTTCTTATAACTTTTTTTAAAACAGAGTTAAATAGAGCTTACATTTGTATAAGTTCTTGTTATTATTTTCTTATGCAGAGTCCATCGTTAAAGCAATTTTCTGAACAAACAGAACATCGTATATAACTTTGGAGAATTGTTTAAATTTCGTTAAAAATATAATAGGAATAGCGAAATTAAAGAAAACCAAGAGTATTTCTCTTTCGTAGTATTTTTAAGAAATTTATTTTAAAATCCTCTTCCTCGAATTAAGTTTATTTTAATTTCTTTTTATTATCAGTATTGATGAGAAAAAGAAATAGAAAAATTAATTATGATATTGTTGAAAAATCGATTGTTTTATGTTACATGATTATATTATGTTGAAATCATAGCGTAAAACTTATTGTCAAGTTTATAATTTACTGATAGGTACATACGTATTTGTCTACACACGTCATCGTCGTTGTCTGCTTATCCGTTTATCTACACAAGAAATCCATTACCTATCAATGGTGATTGCATCGTAGAGGTTTCAGTGTGTTCCTTTTCAAGATTGATAATGTACGAACATTAGCAAATCTTTTTTCTTTTTTAATAAAAAAATTCCTTGAATTTTTACTATCGTACATTAAAAGTATTCGTATAAAAAAGAAAAAAAAAAAAAAAGAAAAAAATAGAAATCTTATTGCAAAATAAAGAAAACTTCTTCGAGTACAACAAATAATTATAGTTTTATTATACGTAATATTTTTTTTTACTTAATATTCATACAACTTATATTTTATATAACGAAGAAAATTATTTTTACGTTAAAATAATAACTTTAAAATAATAATAATAAATAAAAACATTAAAAGAGAGAGTAACGAGCATCGAAATAAATATGATGAATAATAAATAAGATTATAATTTTTTATGTCATACTTAACTTTGATCCCCTTTGTTAACTCTCAATCGATATTCCTTATTTCTTTTATTTTATAATATATAAATAATTTGAATATAAAAAACAATAAATGATAAAATGAATTCGTACAAAATTTTTAGACGTATTGTTAATAGATAATTATTGATACACGTCATACATAACGCATATTTTCAAATTGAGCGCTATTTCGCGGCAAGTCAACGAAGTTATTTAACACGGACTATGGCAAACTCGGTTATCAGAGAGAGAAAGAGAGAGAGAGAGAAAGAGAGAGAGAGAGAGAGAGAGAGAGAGAGAGACATGTTTATCGTTCTACGTAAGTTTCCTGATACGTCACATATGGAGAGGGAAAAGAGAGACAGACGGCCGCTCGTGTGGCCGCTTGAGAGATTAAGTTAAACGCGTTTAACGTTTCAGTCGAAACGCAAACGTTTCGCGATAAAATTTTCTCGGCTTGTGTGTCATTTACTTTTTTCTTTTTATAAGAGCACGCTCACATCGGTCATGCGGGTTTTAATGTTGGAAATGTCGATTTTATACTAAAAAGAAAAAAAAAAAATAATAATAGCACCGACTACGTTAAAATATTGAACAAACAGGTTTTTATCAGTATTCTCACGTTTATGGATAATATTGTGTGTGTGTGTGATGATACAACTATTTTCGGGAACAATTGTAATTAATAATTTTTAAGTTATTCTTGTTTTTTGTTTTTTTTTTTTAATTAGAATAACGAATAATACGAATTTATTAAATGATTTTCAATGATTCGATTGTGCGTCTTACGTTTTAATTATTTTCGTGAGTCATATATATTTTAAATACAGCATGGTTTACTTTTGCTAACGTAACACTGGTTGACGTCCTTCTCTTTCATTGTCATCATAACTTGAGAATATCATTTTTCTTGAATATTTTATAAACGAATTACGAAACAAGTTGTTCAGTTTCAATTTTATATCATTCACAAGATGGACAGGTATGAAATGACCAGTAAATTGGTATCTATGAATCATCGTTTTAATGTTCTGTCGGTATATCTATCAGTTCAAATAAAAAAGTTTCTACTTACATAAGTACATATATATATACCTATGTGTAAGTCATTTATCTCTATAGTTACCGAATAGAATTTTTGTTCTTCTATGATAAGAAAATATTTGAATTTGTTATTTTGGACTGGATACTATTATATTCGATGAAAAAAATTACGTTCAGAGGAAATAGAAATTTCTTTGATCCTGAAGATGATAAAATAAAGAGGAAAAATCATGTTTTTAAATGATTAAAAAATAAATGAGATCGATTGATAAAATAAATAAAGAATCAGGTATATAAATATACACGAATTGTTTTGATATCTCATTTAAATCAAATAATCTTTTTTTTTGGATCAAATTATCTGGAAAAAAAAAAAAGAATAATATATAAACATGAACGATTCGAAGCAGAATGTTAACCCTTCGAAAGAAATATCAGCATCGAATGAGAAAGAAAAATCTGTTGAAAATTCAGAAATCGATTCGACAATGGTGGCTCATTGTTTATCGTTGAACAATGATTCAGAAAATAATAGTTACTTCGATCAAAAAGAACATTGTGATGTGGAAGCTCCTTTAATGGGAACTTCGAAGGATGATCCTAATCGTAAGGTTAAGGATGAGGAAGTATCATCAATTGTGGTAGATCCACCGAGGGTAGTAGGTTCATCGTCTTCGATTAAAAAAACAACCATTGAACAGGATAAAAAAGTCGAAAGACAAAAAGAAAGGAGTACAATAGGGGCGTTGAAAAATTCGATAGATAAGAAATTAGGCTCGGTCGAAAAGAAACTTGAGGATCGTGTCGAAAAAATGTTTGAGGATAATATTGAAAAGCATCCTTGGTTGATACCGATCGAGAATTGGATCATCGATCGATGCAAATCCGACGCAAATGATAAATCCCATTCTAAAAAGATTCAAGATACTTGTCTTCCCAAGGAGACAACTTATGAATTTAAATTCGTTGCGGCCGAGGGAGCCAACGAGGAGCCCAAAATCGAAAGTATTTTAAAGGAAAAACCAAAAAGAGGAATTCGAAAATTGGCATCGACGAAATTGAAACGATCATCTATCGATGAACAAACTATAATTTCACATTTTCAAAATATCGACAAATCATTCCGATCTCACAGTGCCGAGGACGTGTCCGTTATTGGAAATCGATCAACAGATTCGGAAGAAATGTTGATCTTGAAAGAAGTCAAACCGAATAATCCGCTTTTTGATAGATTGGTAGTTAATGTTAAAGAAAAAATGGAAGACATACATAGGGTATCAACATTATTATTTTTGTTTTTCCTCTTCATAATTTTTCTTAATATTATAAAGGACAATAATTATCATTGTTTGGATGTATGCATAAATTTAGTTATATGATTTTAAAATATGAATAATATGAAATCCTCAAATTTCAGTACTTCCAAAGGACTAATCGGTTGGCAGACGTGAATAGAAAATTAAAGTCGCAAATATGGAGTTCGGTAGTAACGATTGTTCTAGTGGAAGCAAAAAACTTGTTACCGATGGATATCGATGGTTTGTCCGATCCCTACGTTAAATTTCGGTAAATATATAAATATATATATATACGGGGAAAGAGTTTTCAAATATATATTGGTCAATTAAATAATCTAATATATTAAATAAATGACGAATGGCGATTTTGTGTAAATTCTTTCCTTAAATACGAGATATTAATTTTGATAAAAATTTGGTAAAAATTACGAAAATATATTAAATTGTTTGACCAACTTTTTGTGTTCAGCCTTGGTACGGAAAAATACAAATCAAAAGTTGTAAACAAGACTTTAAATCCGGTATGGCTGGAACAATTCGATCTTCATCTTTACGAGGACCCTTATTTAGGACAGGAATTGGAAGTAACAGTTTGGGATCGTGACAGAAGTCATCAGGATGATCTTATGGGTCGGACCGTTATTAATTTGGCAACGTTGGAACGAGAAACTACTCATCGATTATGGCGAGATCTCGAAGATGGTTCCGGAAATATTTTTCTTCTTTTAACTATCAGCGGAACTACAGCGAGCGAGACCATAAGTGATTTAGCTGCCCACGAAGAAACGCCTAGAGAGAGGTCGAATTTAATTCAAAGATATTCTTTAACAAACACGTTGCAAAGGCCTCGCGATGTTGGTCATCTGACGGTGAAGGTAATTGCAGATAATTGGTATCTTTATTAGTATCGTTAGTGTGCTAAAATGTAATTGTATTGGAATATTTATGCAGATTTTTAAGAAACTAATTAACATTATTATATTTCGATATATTATAAGTATATATTATATTTAAAAATATTCTATGTATATATATATATACATCGAATATATATTTAATATATTTATTTATTAGCACGAAATATTTTCGGGCAAATCAATACTTGACTTTAATAAATTGATTTGACGTTCCGATAAAAAAAAAGAAAAAAAAATCAAGGACGTTTACTTCAATCAATCATTAAATATAGAATATTACTTATTAAATACGAGTACCTACCTTGGTTTAATCGATCCTTATAATTAATAAATAAATAGATTATTCTCTTTGATAAGAGATTTCGGATAACTCTTTACTCCTCGTTCTAAATGAGGAAACTAGATCTGGTTTATATTTCCATTGATTTTTTAAAGCTATATCATCCATTTTAATCAAGTACCATCTATATTGATCTCACTCGTGCTGTCTATTATTCGTTTGGTGTTCATTACTTTTCAGATATATCGAGCTCAAGGTCTCGCAGCAGCTGATCTCGGTGGGAAGAGTGACCCTTTTTGCGTCCTGGAATTGGTGAATGCTAGATTGCAAACACAAACTGAATATAAAACATTGGCTCCTAATTGGCAAAAGATTTTCACCTTGTAAGTTGTTCGTTCTTTTGACGATTTCAGATAAAATATTAATAATTCGAATGATTCATTTCTTTCTTTCTTTCTTTCTTTCCACGTAGTAACGTGAAGGACATTAATTCGGTGCTAGAAGTAACGGTTTATGACGAAGATAGGGATCACAAAGTTGAATTTCTTGGTAAAGTCGCTATTCCATTATTGAGAGTTCGTAACGGTGAGAAAAGATGGTATGCACTGAAGGATAAGAAATTGAGAGGTCGGGCTAAGGGTAATTCACCTCAAATTCTTCTTGAAATGACTGTAATTTGGAACGTATTCAGAGCTTGCATCAGAACTCTCAATCCTAAGGAGAAAAAGTATATGGAACCTGAGATCAAGTTTAAGAGACAGGTTTTTCTGAGAAACGTACTTAGGCTCAAAGCGATCATCCTATTCTTTATCGAAATGGGAAAGTATATGCAGTGAGTGGCTTTTCTCGATGTTATAAAAAATAAAATTCTGATAAAAACAAATAACAATCATTAAAAATGATAATTAAATCTATATAGTATCCTTTGTCTATTTTACATTCGATTTTTTTCTTTCTTCCTACGGTTAGGAGTTGCTGGGAATGGGAAAGTAAACCAAGAAGCATATTTGCCCTGATCATCTTCGTTCTTGGATGTTATTATTTCGAACCCTACATGATACCAGCATTGGCTTTATTAATTCTACTCAAATATTATCTGGTAAGAATAATTTCTAACAACGATGATGCTTCATGTATATACAACAAACCCTTAAACTCGCTCGATTGCTTAAAACACTTGCTGTGCCGATATTGCAACTACATTTTATCGAATATCCCTTAAACCAACCTATAACCTCTCTACAATTTTCAACAAATCGATAGTAGAAACTGAGATTAAATAGATTTTAGTTATTACAAAATTAGAGCACTTTAATTGGTTTTTATAAGGTTCTTCCCAAAAGTAGATTGGAATCCTGCATATAATCGATTGCATTGTGAATAAAGCAAGATAAACCATTTATAATTTACCAAGCTAGAATATCCTATAAATATATTAGAATTCGCCCATTTTTTTGTTATACCTCTCTATTTGAAATAATAATGCTAATGAAGATTACTTAAGCATGGATGAAAAATAAGCTGGAATCTATCCGAGTGGAATACTTTAGCAGCCCACTGTCAACCACTCTGACACCTGTCGATCCACCGGTAATCTTACTACTAGTAGAAATAGTAGTAGTTTACGTCGTTACCTTTATACATACATAGTTACATACATAGTTACATACATAGAATCTTGATTTGTCTCTCTCTATTTCTCTATCTCTCTCTTTTTCTTTCTTTTTCTCTCTTATTCTCTTTTGATCTTTTTCTGAGACACGCTTGATAGAAGTAATCTGTCACTTGATCGCAATGCTGCATGTCGTGTTTCTTTGGTATCGGCCAGCTTAACAAGGAGGATAGGAGTGGATTCAATCAGTGGATTTGCGGACAGGTCGCCGCAGTTACTGGTGCATCATTTACGCATCAAACGAGCCCTCATTTTCAAGATACTTCGGAATTGGCATCAGATGATGGACCGGTAACACCAGGTGACGATGACGATGACGAGGACGATAAAGACAAAGTGAGTACACACCGGATAATTATTATTTCGATCTAATGACGTCCAATCGATCGAGAAAAGACGAACTCACGATGATAAATCATTTGCAGGAGGAAAAGAAGAGTCTGAAGGAACGATTACAGGCGATTCAGGAGGTCACCCAAACTGTACAGAACTCCATTGGTTACATCGCCAGTCTTTGCGAGAGAATAAAGAATCTTTTCAATTTTACAGTTCCTTATCTCAGCTATTTAGCTATGACCTTGGCCATAATCGGTGCAGCTGTTCTCTATTATATACCAGTCAGATATCTTATACTTGCCTGGGGCGTTAACAAATTTTCCAGAAAAATCTTTAGGCCACATACTGTGCCTAATAACGAGATACTTGATCTAATATCTCGAGTACCTGACGACGAGGAGATCCTTAACTACAGGTAAATTAATAACACGTTAACATAAAAGTTCTGATTTTGAAGAGTAAAACGATATTTGGCTATTTTATTTATAGGGAATTAAAACCATTACCTACTGCTGATTGTGAAAGAGGAGGAGTCCCGGGTTTTAGCGGTGGGAACACTGCGAAGAGGGAACAACGGAAAAGACATAAAGTGGCGTAACAGAATGGCCCGCGGCCGGAAGTCGCGGGTCCAAGGTCATCCAGTATACTGAAGTCGGTACTCTTACGTAGGAGATTGAAAAATCGAAAAGAAACTACCGATAATCCGGATCAAGTCGTCGACATCGATTAATCGTCGAACGATATATGATCAGCTGGATGAAGATCGAGGGGGAAGAAAAATCGTCGTTTTTACCATCTTGATGATTTCACCAACGACTAATACGTGTATCTATCTATCTTTTTTCCCGAAGGTCATCCCAGTGAACTTGCTCGATCGATAACTGGGACACAAACGTAGGGAATGAGATAAAGAGATGTATAGATAGATAGATAGATAGATAGATAGATAAATAGTTGGATAGATAGTATCTCAGTGAGATAAAATTGACGTGTAAAACGATCTTACTCTCACAAGAAATATATATATCTATCCTTTAGTATATTACAAATAGAATACGTTCTTTCATTGGTCGGAAATATATGAGACGAGTTTTGAATTAGACATTATCGTGCTCAAAGCTAAATTTTCTGCTTAATTGTTCGCTATTATTGAATAAAATATTCGCTGATACGTTGACGATTCATACTTTATGAATTACGATCCTTGTGATCTTATGAAATCATCCTCGTCGTTTAGCTTTGTTATCACTATTTCTTCCTTTTTTTAGATTTATTTATTTACGAAACAGAATATCTACGTAATTCTTGTTTCTATTTATACACACACACAATAAATCGTTATTGTATAATAAAGGAGCTTCCAATTGTAATGAAAACAAAAGGAGCATGTTAATTGACGCGATGATTTCTAATCGAGTACAAATCCTTCCCAAGAAATAGTTAAAGTTTTAGTAGGGGATTTTTTATCTATTTTACGTGTCAACTTTTTATCATCATGCGAGTTGCGAATGATTTTTACGCGTTCGTTGAGCTTTATTGTTGCACACTCTTCGATTTTACGATTAAATAGAAAATCATTGTATGTATTCCTTTTCACACTTGTCGACATTTTTGAGATTTCATCGGTATTTATCAAAAAGAAAAAAAGAAAAAGAAAAAATAGGAAAGAAAATAAAAGGATTTGGACAAGCGACCAACAACACGTTATATTATATAACACATATTATATATAATATATTTCTTATCAAGAAAAACATCATTTAAACGATAATCTCTCATTGTTGGGAATAATTTGTTAAACATAAACAAATATGAATAATAAAAGAAGAAAAATTAAAAGAAAATATAAAAAGAAAAAAAAGTAACAGGAAAAGAAGGAAAGAAATAATGAAGATTTAGAGAAATAATAAATCGCCTATACATTTTGATATTATCTCTGTGTATTTTTATGATAAGATTATTCGTATATTATATATTATAATAATAAGAAGAAGATTTATATAAATTGATGATGTTTTTCTCTTAAACTTTAAAAATTAGATTAACGGATAAAGAAAATTATACGAATGTGTAAATCTTGTCTTTATCGGCGAAGATCTTATTTCGAAAAAAAATTTTCTCAACAAATATTTGAGAAACTTTTTCCGACGGAATCTCTTTGAAAGTATCTCCTATGGAAAATAGATGGCATTTAAAATAAAAATGATGCTATTGCGATTAAATATATATATATATAAAATATATATTATGTGCTGATAATTATTACAGGAACCTGACAATGAGGCAAAAAATATTGTAACAATTGATTTTATGATTCATCTTGTATTACAATTATTAATATTATTAAAAAAAATCATAGGATTAATTTTTTTTTTTGACAATTTTTTTACTTATACTCGCCCCCCTATTATTATAATTACCGGCACATAAATATATAAGAAATTGAATAAAATTTCGATTAAAACCAAATAGTAATAACGAATAATAAATGACATTAATAAACGTTAAGGTTTCCATTTCTCTGGTGAACACGCATCGATCGTTTCGTCCATTGGTGTTATAGATTAACCATTGAAATTGTTAACGTCTAATGAAAACGATTAGAATGCGTGAGAGCGAGAGAGAAGGCGAGAAAAAAATTATATAGCTAAATAATAATAATAATAATAATAATAATAATAATTAAAGAAGAAATAAAGAGAGTAAATTAAATTATAAAAAGATATATAAAAATATGTTAAATAGAATGTGAACGGAAGAGAGAGAAAGAAAATAGAAAACGAGGAATGATATGACAAAAAAAAAAGAAAAGAGAAAATAGCATCTTATATCGTATAGTAAATATTCTGCATACAATCTGTACTCGTCATGAAATTTCATTATCACGATTATTGCAGATTATAAACCAGGTGAAATATCTTTAAAATTACATATATTCATGCATACGTTTGATTAATGAATATCGCGTCTTTATTCTCACGCACACGTATACACACATACATACATACATAAATTTACAACGTACACGTGTTTTTCCCAATGCATTAGCTCGCTTTTTCGAGTCGAATTATTGGATTGCTCGATATGAAAAATAAATTAAATATAAAATAATATTTACGAAAGTAAAAAAATCTGCTAATTGAGTTAATTTTGTTGTTTTTTTTTCTTTTGTAAACAAATAACACACACATATCAGTCTATAATTTATATAATAGTATAAAAATAATATTTTGGTAATATTTTTCTTCTATCTTTCCAGTTATTTCTTCCCTTTTTGACAAAGTTGTTTATGGCATACAATCAATTAATTTTTTTGTTCATATAACAAGATTTTTATAAAACATCGAGCAATTTTGTTTTTTTCTTTTTACATAGGATCTCGGAAATCTTTTTCACGTTGTACTCGAGAAAGCGAATAACGCATTGTTCCATTTTCTTGTCTGTAATGTAACGAACTGCACGTATGAATCATATGGAAGTGAAAGAGGAAGCACAAAAAGAAGAAGGAAAGAAATGGAGATGAAATAGAATATCGTTAACCCATTTTCTCGGTCTCTTATATTACGCTGATATAATACAGGCGGTACAATCTCTTAAATAAATTTTCTTCTTTCGATCGTCTTGTTATTCTAATCGCGTGTATTTCAAGAGAACGTCGAACAGAACATTTAGAGAAGTGTGTTTTTTTATGCATCAAATAATTCCTATTTCTATCTTCTATATTTGTATTCGTATTTTACATTTGTATTTTATATTAACATTTATACACTGTTCGTGAAATAATTTGAAACACACAGAGTGTCTCAGCTGAAGGATTATATATATATATATATATATATATATAAAGATCTGTACTCGTTTCGATCGTATAGATGAAATAAATAATTTTAATATCTATACATATATTCAAAATGATTTCCATGTATATAAAAATATTCTTCTCTGGGCTCTTTTATATTAATAATTAATATAACAGTAGAGTTTCAGATACACACCAGCTGTTATTTATGTTAAGAACAAAATAATTTGTCTTTATTACTCTTCCTTTTACGGATTTGAGGGATCCGTTCCCTTTACAATCATTTAACAACGAGTCGTAAATCTATCTAAATTACTATACTACTTAATTGAACAATATAAATTAAAAAACTATTAATCAATGATAAAATAACATCTTTGTAAAAATAAAATTGACGAGCAAATTACATTATATACAATAAGAAAAACTATAAAACTAAGGAAACAACATTTAACATACTAATGCAAATACATCAGACCTTACAGAGATTGTTTTATTACTTTACTTTGTTGTCAATCTTACTCATCCGGCTTCATAGCTCCCCCTCGGCTTACTTCATACTCTTTCTTAATTCTTCTAACTTCTTCATTTACTTTTTCCCTTAACTAATACCCTCCAAGATTAAACATATTTTCACCTGTATCTCTCCGTATCCTCCGCCTGTATCAAACCAAAAATCCAAGTAGCAGAACTCATCCATTCTCTCATCCATCCGTTCACCATTCATCCTCCATTCGTAGTGTATTTTACTTTTTCTCTTTTTGAACATTACCTTTTTCGTCCTATTCACATTTATCATTCTCTCTCACATACTTTTCAAAAACACTTATCAACATTTGCATCCCTCTTTCATCGTCCGCTAGTAGAACCACATCATCTGCATATGCTAGCAAGCACACTTTGCCATTCCCTAAATGCATTCCCCCTTTTCCCCTTTTCTGCAATTTTTCTTCCATATTCACCACTGAACAGAAGAGAGCTTAAAGGGCAGGTTTGCCTGAGCCCTCTTCTCATCCAAAACTCTTCTTCTCCTTTTACGACCCCTTGTTCTCACTTTGACCCTCGTCTCAGTGATGCATTCCTTTATTCTTTCGATCAGTACACCTTTTCCTCCTCAATGTCTACCACAGTAAAAAACTTTAAAATAAAGTGAACGAGCAGGCTAGTCAAGAAACGATAGACCTAAATTTACCTAAAACGTACTAAGTATCGAAACGAAAAAGGGGTAAATATTTCGCGCCGTAACACGTCACTCAAGGGGGTAGTAACCATGGTGAAAATACTAACAAGTGGACAAAATATTAATTTGTTTAATTATCGCTAGAGTGTACGTCAATCGTGGGTTTCGCGCGATTTCTATAATCAAATATAAAAATTAAATATTTATATTTATTAACTTTTTAACACACAAAGATTTATATTATAAAATTGTAATAAATAGTAATATATAATAATAAGAAAAAATGGTTGATTTTGAAAAGGATAAAGGTAATATAAGTTTACCTCAACGGTTACAGTCTCCTGATCCTGATGATAAAGAAACAGGAAAAAAGGTTGTACCTATGATTATTAATATGCAAAGAGCAGTCTATGATTTAAAAATTAATAATATTAATAACAAAATTCAAAGGTATAAAGCATTTATATACGCGTCATAATATTAAAATAGATATTTTTAATTTAAAAGTATTCATTTTTATTAGATTACAAGAACTAAACGATGAACTTATAAATGATCATAAAGAGATTGCCTTACTTTTAACTTCAAGAGATGCGGAAACGGCTAATGAAATCGCTCAATTAACGCGATATTTGTCTGCCGAATTATCAAAATTAGAGGAATATAAAAATAAATTAAATGTTCTAGAAAAAGGAATAATAAACGATAAATTGTTACATATAGAAAAAGTAAATTTTATAAACGAAAAATATGCGAAGAAACGTTTAGAATTGATATCGCAAATTAAACCATTGAGTAATTATTTTCGATATTTTTCTATTTTTTAACACAAATTTAAATACTGAAACAACAATATATGCAACTTTAGAATACATTACTAGATGCAAAGATAAATATGTTGAAAGATTATAGAAGATCGCAAGAAATTCTTAAAGAAAAATTAGAAAATACAAATAATTTTTTACTACAGGAGGAAGAAAAAGTAGAAGAAGAAGTAAAACAAATTCAACGAAAATTTAAACTTGATAGAGAAAAGTATATATCGAATGTATAATTATATAAATTTATTAATAAAAAAAATTAATATTTATATTAATATTAACATAGGCTTAAAAAGGACATGTACAATCGTCTTCTTGACTCTGCTGGAATTTTTCAAATAGAAATTTCGAGGTATATGCAAGAACCTATTCATAAACTTATAAGAGAAAATATTATGTTGAATAATTATTGGAAAGAAATTATGAATGAAAATCTTTCTAATAAAAATATATTTAAAAACTTCGAGTAAGAATATTATTTTTTATTATTAATTATATAATTTTTTCGAGCAAATATGTTTCATATTTTACTTCTTTTAGGCATACGAAGAAGATGCTTTTTAAGAAAAATAAATTAAATTATTTAAATACCAGATATAATATAAAAGTTACTAATATTCAAAGTCATTTATTAAAAATTTTAAAAGAAGTTCATAAAGATACAGAAAAACGTTTCATTAGTTTCAATGTTTTAAATCAATATAATCCTGAGAAATATTCTTCTGATAGAGATCACGCACAAACGCAGACTCATACCTCTGAGGTACATGTAAGAGAATTGGAAATTATGTTGTACAAAGAAAGAATTAAAATTAATAACTCAAAATGTATTAAAGAGAAAATACAATGTAAAATAAAGAAATGTAGGGAAACGCTTTATGATGTTAAATACGCTATATTATGCGCCCTAAAGGTACAATAAATTAAAAATTAAAATTATATTACATTTTATTCATCTTATACATTATATACATTTAAAGTATATAAAAGTACAATAATTGAATTGCTTTTTATAGATGACAGATAGTAACTCTAAATTTTCGCAAATGGATACAAAAAATTTGTTGCTATGTTTACAAAACATTATTGTAGAAGGACAAGACTGCATGTCGAACATTATAATTAAATCGTTAGTATTTGTATTCATATTTTATATAACTCAATTGCAAACAGATCGCATAAAATATTAATTTAAAACATAACAAATATAAAGGATGGAATCTATACCACGATCAAGTAATATGTACATTCATGGAGATCTTGGATTTGAACCTAAACCGATTAAATTAAGAGAATCAACTCAAATAGTAGAAAAGGAAATCTCCCCATCAATCATCTCAGAAACTTTTAATATTAAACAAATGGTAAGATTTTTATTTTATAGGTAATAAATCGACAGATTACTTACATAATGAATAATATAGGAAAAACAATCAAAAGAAGTTTTATTGAAAGATAAAAGTTCAATTTTATTCGAAACACCATCAGTTAAGGAATTAATTGAAATTGAATATTCAAATGCAGAGGATTCAGTTTCAGAAGAATTTGAAGTGACAAAAATCAGCAATGATGCAAGTTATATTGAAACTTTCAAAGAACAAAAATAGAATTTTATGATTAATTGAATTTATATTAGAACCATTGATTTGAAGAACATATATAAGTAACAATAGGGTTTATTATTTTTTAATAATATTATTTTACTCTGTCAAAATTTAATTACTTTATACGTTTTAAATAGAACCAATTATTTTTCATTGAAAAATATTATATATTTTTATAATCATTGCTATTTATATTTATATATAAATACATTTCATCGTCACTCCTTTAACGTTATTTTATGATCCGGTTTAATATATCTCTTTACCTTACCCTTGGTTCGTTTGCTAAAACAATACAATATATTTTTATTAATTTAATGATTACTATATAAATTAAAATCCAGTTTTTAATTATTACATTTATAAATAATGATGAAAAATAGAAATACTTACACAACAAGGTTAGCTGGTGCAACAATGTTCCTTTGCTGCAACGATTTGTAACGATCCTTTAATAAATTACCAATACGTCCGACGTTTCTTAAATTTCCAGTTAATTCCTCTGCTAACGTAAAGGAAGGTTCAGCAGGCTCGAATTTAACTCTACTCAATGTCTTCGTTTCTTTGGATTTTAATTTCTTTAATTCATTTCTCTTCTTTTGTAACATTTGTTCTTTCTTTTCTTTAATGCTTATTTGTTTTTGAAGTAATTTCAACTTGTATATATCAGATATTTTCTTTTTCTCCAATTTTGCTTGTGCTAATTTATTTGTCAAAATTTTTTGTTCCTTTTGCTTACGTCTTGTTACTAAAGTTTTCTTTTTATTTTTTACTGGTGGATTAATAGATTTAATATCGTGATCTATATCAGTATCATCATTGTTATTATCACTATTCGACTGATTTTTATCTTCTTTACAAGGCAAGCCCTCGGCCAATTCCTTTAACGTATTTTCATCTTTTTCATTGGGTGAAACCTAATAAAGATGAAGACAAACATTATTTAAAATTATTAATAAATAAAATATAAAAACTTATACGAATTACCTTTTTGAACATCTTAGTAGTAACTCTATTCAAATGAGCTTCTTCTTTCATTAACTCTAATTCTTTCTGAGCTATATCACTTAACAAATTTTGATGATCCTTGTAAGATGGATTATACGATGTACCAGGATGTGGAGCTTCTATCGCTGGTAGAACTGATGGTTTTTTAAGTAAGGATGTAGGTAATTTTCTTTTCCTTAAACCCATATGTGAAATAGTATGTCTCATAGTATCCGAAGTCATCCATTCTGTATCAATCTTGGATAAAACAGGATCTTCCTTATTCCAAATATCTTCTTTAAAATCACCTCGTTTATGTCGATTAGCTCTTTTCAAATCTGCTAAAGCTCTATCTTTTATTGCTAATTTTTCTTTCAATTTCAAAATACCCTTTGCTTTTCTTTCCAATTCCTTGCGACGCAAGATTGGGTGTTTACGTTCTTCTGGTGTTCTAACACGGTTTCTTTTAACGATTGGATCAGGAACAAGAGAATTTGATTTTAAAATACTAAAACACTTTGGCTCTGCATTTTTCAAGGCCAATCTACGCTGTTTTTTATCAACAGACTTAATATCCTTAATTGCAGTACCTTTATCAATTACAAACAAATCTTTATCTGATCGTTGAGCAATTGGCCCACCTAATCTTTCCTCTAACCTTTCTTCTTCTAAAAAATTGTCAACGTCAGTTGTGTCCACATGTTTTCTCCATGATTTTTTCGTTTTTTTAGAAACTTTACGCTTTTTAGTTTTAATGTCAATCATCTTGACGAATTTCTTACACCACCACGTGTATAGTAGAAAAATATTACGATATAATTCGACTCTTACTATATATATTTCTCCTACTCTTTTGATTTTGTTATACTACTGGCGCTACCTGGCGTCTAATGAAAGGATATAGAAAATGCGGTATAGCGGTATAGCGGTATAACGCTTGTATCAATCTGTATTTTTTGATAACTATTTCTCTTTTTTTATCAATTTTAAGTATACATAAATTAATTAAAAATATACGTTGTAATATCGGTAAAAATTATGTATAATAATATAAACATGTTGTTACTTATGATATTAAAAATTTGTTCGTTTTAATTAATTCAATATGTTTTTAACTATTTGAAATATATATATATAAGATGTTATTATTGTTAATATTTCATTTGTATTATTGTCCTTAATATGGCAATTAAAATTAATACAGAGCTTCCAGGTAAAATAATAATAATAATAATTAAAATGTATTTAATGAAATTATTTTATATTTATTTTTTAATATTTCAGGTGTTCCATTACCAGTGGCTCTTTTAATAATTATTATTTTATCGTTATGCTATGCAAATAGTTATAATGGTGTATTTGTATTTGATGATGCAGAAGCTATAGTCAATAATGATGATGCTCAAAAAACTCCTATTTGGAAAATATTTAAAAATGATTTTTGGGGTACTAAATTATCTCACAAGGGTAGTCATAAATCTTATCGTCCTCTTACAGTCTTAACATTCCGGTAAACAATTAGTTTAAACATACACAAAGTTCTGTGATTTATAAATATTAAAATATTAATAGAAAAAATATGATATTAATTGTTCTTTTGTTTTTTATAGAATACAATATTGGATCAGAGGTCATTTAAATTCTCAAGATTTTCATATTGCAAATATTATTTTGCATATAATTGTTTCCTTATTAACTTACTACGTGTTCAATATTCTTTTAAGTAACAAAGAACAAAATCTAGCTTTCTATGGAACAGTATTATTCGCGATACATCCAGTACATACAGAAGCTGTAAGTTATTCCATTGTAACAGATATATTATTTCATTCAGATATTATATTTATCGTAATAATAAATGAAGATTTCAGGAATTGTAGGTAGAGCAGAATTACTATGTTTGTTATTTATGTGGCTATCACTTATAATGTACAATCAGTGTATTATCGCTAATTGTTTTATTTCCAAGTTGTGTAATATAACTGGTTGCATTACAAGTATTTTGATAGCAATGCTTTGTAAAGAAACTGGCATTACTGCAATTGTAAGTATAAAAATGATTATATATCTCTACTTAATTTTTTGTAATTATGATTTTATGAATTACAGGGAATTTGTATAGTGTACGATATAGTCATTATAAATGAATTCTTACCAAACGATATATTGAAGTTACTAACAAGTAAAGATTCTCATATTAGCTCAACGATCGTTGCCAAATTAAATCGTTCATTTTTTATTAGAATGTTTGTACTTTTTTTAAGCGCAATAATGTTGTTATCTCTGAGATTTACTATTATGGAGTTTTCAACGCCAAAGTTTCAACCCGTAGACAATCCTGCATCATTCTTGGATAATTTTTTCCTTCGCTTTATCAATTATAGTTATATTTACAGTATAAATGTGTGGTTATTGATTTGTCCAGTGTGGTTGTGTTTCGACTGGTCAATGGGTTGCATACCTTTGATTATTGGATACGATAAAAGGATTTTTTGTATTATACTTTTTTGGATGTTCATGGGTACAATAATTGTCCATATTTTTTCAGCACATAAAGATAGATTTTTAAGGTATTATATATTTCATTCTAAATTTTACTTTTGATTTTATTCAATTAAGTAAATTAAATTATAATATGTTACAGATATACAATTATAGGATTAGCACTTTTAGTTGTACCTTTCTTACCTGCTAGTAATATCTTTTTTACTGTTGGATTTGTACTAGCGGAGAGAACTTTATATATTCCTTCAGCAGGATATTGTCTCTTAGTAGTTATCGGATTGCAAAAGCTTTTAAAGGGTACATCTCTAAGAAATTTATTAATATTATTTTACACATTCTTGTGTGTTACTTTTTTTATACGTTCATGGAATAGAAGCGATCAATGGAGATCCGAAGAATCACTTTTCAGATCTGCATTGGACGTTTGTCCACTCAATGCTAAAGTTCATTATAATATTGCTAAAAATGCGGCTGATGCAGGAAATCTTAATTTAGCTAAATTGGAATACGAAGAAGCCTTACGGTATATCTTTTATTTGAGCATATTTAATGAAAATAATCATTTAATGTTATATCATAACAGACTGATTTTGCTTTTTTTTTTTTATTTATAGTTTAAATCCAAATTATCCTCAAGCAATGAATAATCTTGCTAATTTACTTAAGGATGAAGGAAAATATGATGTTGCTGAAAATCTATTCAAACAAGCTGTCACATTGCAGTAAGACTTTATGGAATATTTTTGTTGCTAATATAGTATCAGATTAAAAATAATATATTGGAATTTTGTTTTCTCTCATTGTCATAATTATATACTAAAATATATATTTAACAATTATAGAAAAGACTTTGCCACAGCATGGATGAACTATGGCATAGTTTTATCTGCACTTAAAAGATACGAAGAATCAGAAAAAAGTTACTTGACTGCCCTATCTCAGAAACCCAAGTATCCTGATTGTTATTACAATTTAGGTGTTTTGGTAAAGAGATTAACATTAGTTTTTCTATATATATGTATTAAAATAATAATTGTTAAAAGTTCGATAAATGTACATCTAATGTCTCTTCTCATAGTATCTAGAACAAAAACATTATCACAAAGCATTAATAGCTTGGACAAATGCGACTAAATTAAAAGTAACTCATAGAAGAGCATGGACAAATATGGTAATATTGTTGGATGATCTAGGTACGTGTATTAAATAATTTCTGCAATTAATAATAAATCGTTATTAATTTAATAATTTATATCGTATTTGTAGGTATGTCAGAAGAAGCATTGAAAATTGCGAACGAAGCTTTACAACATATTCCTGATCATGCATCAATATATTTTAATATTGCTAATATATTAGGTAAACTAGGTAGATTTTCAGAAGCAGAGACATATTTTAAACAAGCAGTATCGAGGAATCCAACAGATTCTATGTTTTACACAAATTTAGGTATGTATTTTCTTCAGTTCATATATACAAAAATTGTATAAATATTATAGTTAATATTATATTAATATCTACACAAAATATATTACGCATTATGTATTTTTGTAGGTGTATTATATCATCGTTGGAATAAAGTTAACGAAGCAGAATATATGTATAAAAAAGCATTAGAATTTAATCCGCATTCACAAAGTGCAAAAGAAAATTTAAAAAAATTGCAATCATTAAAACGATCAATAAAATAATTATATTTTTGTACATTCTTTATACATTATTTGCAATGTATTAATGTTTCCTAAGAAATGATTAGAACTATACGTTTCTATCTCTACATATCTACTATGTATTAACATTTTCTGTTACTTCTTCGTTTGTTTCTTTCATTTCTACATCTTCTTCCATGTTTGTTTCGTCTAATATTGATTTTTCTCTTACGATATTAGTATCGCAGGGATAGCGAAATGCTTTAAAATTTCCTACCTTTTTACCATTAATGTAATTGTACGACTTAAAACAAACTTCACAAAAAAAACAAGGATTATGAGGTACTCTATCATGTTCTTTTGTAATCCATTTAGCAGCCAAAGCTCCACACATATAACAGTATATAGTTTTTTGTTGCCTAATCCTATTAATTCTTGGATATTCAGATATGTGTAATTCGTCATGAGGTTGTGCCAATCTAGATAAATATTAATTTTCAAATAAATTAATGAAATATATATTATATTTTATATATATAATTTATATGATATTAAAACAAATACATAAGCTAATATACCTTGCATCGCTGAATATAATGATATGTTCGCAAGAACCTTGGTGCATGTAAACCCATGGATAACCAAATCTAACAGAAAGGGAATCTATTCTAACGTTTTCCATATAATCAGTACGAAATGGTCCTAAATTTTTAGTTCTTGCCCATTCTATTATAGAACTACTATAATCTATATTTGCTGGATCTCTGAAGTCATTATAAAATGTTTCTTCAATATAAAAAAAGCCAGACTTATACACATCCTAAAAAATAATAAAAGAGCGATTAGAAACTAATTACAAACTAAATACAGTAAAAATGAACATTTACTTTTGCCATCGATTGCAACGGTTGATTAGGATTGTCACTGATTTCCACTGGAATTGTTAAGTCGCACATGCATCTTATTTTATCACGCAAATCAGTGAGCATCTGTCTTCCTAATACTGTTATCACATGTTTCAGGGTAGGTTTAGTTCTTCTATTTATATTTTTCATTATGTTAGTTGAATGCATAAAAGGTTTGTACACTCTAACATCAATGAAAATGTCTTCATACGGTACAATCAAATTACCTGTGCTCATATTTGATGTTTTGATATTGTCATAATTCTGTAAATATTCATTAAATAAATAAATAATAATTATAATAATATATATATAAATAAAAATAATAAACATACAACAAATATTTCGCTAGTATATTTGAACTGATAATTAGCTCTGGATTTTTTGCTTTCTTTCCACTTTCGAATAGTTTCTAAATTAATATCTTCTGTAATCATATCTGTCGTTTTAAAAATATTGAATTTCTTTGGTAGTTCTACTTCCAGTTTAGGAATCTCTCCAGGTACAGTTAAATTTTCTGTGCTTAAAATGAAATTAAAATCAAATTAATTTATAAATTAAATTTTTGTAGCATTATCTCTTGCTTGTTTGATCATCAGTTACAAGACACCCTATGTATTTACATACCTGCAGTATTCTTTCAATAATTCCATTTCCTCATCTGATAAATCAACTTGCATTAATTTAAGGATAGATGAATCCTCCTTTTTTTTTGAATCCAAAAAATTAAGATAAATAGGTTTAATAATATTGGAATATTCTGCAAAATATTCCTTTATGTTAATTTTTGCTGAAGCATTCTGATTATAATGTCCATATATCGAATCCATTTTTTGTTAACTATTATTTAGACTTTCAATCTAATATACAAAAACAACACTCGCGATTATTATTAACTTTGTTATAAAATATTAAAAATGTTAGAATAGGTTATACATCGAAGTTTTAATCTTATTCAATAAGACATGTTCCCGATACTATATTTAATCATATAAAAGATTAACCATTTTGATTTTAAAACACAAATACTCTAACATTCACTGAGTAATACACGATGAACGAATAATAATGAAAAAGCCATGTGGTCCTACGTCTAGAAATACTGCGCGTGCGCATTTAAGTATATAAACGTGAAACATCTGATTGGTTGAACAATCTCAGTACCGTATGCATTTGAGAAAAAAAAGAAATGCGAGCGAAATTTCGAACGACATAAATGAATTTTTACGAATTTTTAATTTGTTTATAAATTTTGTAGAAAAAATAAATAAATTTCCATTAACCCTTTCGCTACGGCAGTGCGCTCTGTCGGAGTGACGCCGCTATACGGACCACCGTGCCGCCGGAGTAGCGGCACTGTACGGAGCGGGTCTCAGGTGAGGCAGATAACGCCGTCTATAGGCGACGCTCGTACACACAGGACACCGCGCGGATGTCGCCTATAGGCGACGCTCCTAGCGAAAGGGCTGATAAAAAGACAAAGTTTCCGATTAAATATTAATTGTTATATTATAAATGCTGTATGTATTAATAATGAACCATTTTAAATGAAGAATATATTATTTTTTACAACTTTCACGATCGATTAAATGAAAAAATGTAAAAAAAGAAAATCAACGTCTAAAGAAACTTTCAATCGCGATAAAATTAATCGCTATCTTTTAAATATTACGTTAAGGAAAAACTAACTTTGTGTGTAGTATATTTATCATGAATGATAATAAAAAGGATTAAGAATTATCTTACAATTAGAGATAAATAACAAATAATGCACTTAACGCGGTAAGGAGGGTGAAAAACGATTGAGAGAAGAGGGTATGGGTAAGTAGTATCTTTCGAGTAGTTTATGTAGTCAGACCGGAGCGAACGAAGAAAGAGAGAGAGAGAGAAAGAGAGAGAGAGAGAGAGAGAGAGAGAGAGAGAGAGAGAGAAGAAGAGAGAAAAAGAAACTTTTAGGGTAGGAATGAACAATGAATAGGCGTCAACCAAACGCGCTCACGGCGCACTGCACTCGCCAATGGTCCGTGCGAGTTCGGCGAGCGTGGCGAGTTTGGCCACGCCCCTTAAGCGTGGCCACTCTACTCTCTCGCGGGACCTTCACGGTTAAGCATATCGCACGCTTGACGAAGCGCGCATCACGAACGCGTATCCTCGATAGGATGAGAGAGACACATATGCATCTGAATATATGTAAGTTGTATGATGAGAAAGAGAGAGAGAGTGAGAGAAAATAATTTGGCGGGGGCCGTATCGGCGTGCTCGGCCTGCCTTCCCCACGACTAACATAAGCGGCAAAAGCAGAGAGAGTCAAGAGAGAAGATTTCTTATTTCTGCTCTGGTAAATCTGTCGGGGCAGTCAGTGCGAGGCTGTGAAGGCCAAGCCGCGCATCATTGCTTTGCGGTCCATTATTTTCTATTTGGTTTATCTATCTCTTTCTCTCTCTCTCTCTTTCTTTCTCTCTTTTTCTCTCTCTATCTGTCTGTCTCTCTTTCTCTCTCTCTTCTCTATCTTTTTCTTTCTCCCTCTCTTTCTTGTACACGTACGTAAACATACAGTAAATACTTATATACACATTAACACGCCTATGCATATTTATTAATTTTGTAATCTTCGTAATTCATACATACATGTTAATAACAAAAATGTATTCATACAATTGAGAAAAAGAAACGAAACTTTATATAAAAGAAAACGTAAAAGTGTTGTTTCTCAGTGCGTGGCCGGCATTGCGCCATTTCAAGTTGCGCCACGCGTTGCGTTAGGGTTGCATTACGCCACGCATACGCGCGCGAAAATTTTAACTTATAAATAAGTAATATAAGTTAAGTAGTAAATAGGTGTTAGAGTGCCGGAAAGTCGCGTGTGCGTTTTCGTTAATTGATTGTGTGGGTGTCTCTTTTCATCATATGTGTACTTTCCCGCAAACGGTTTCAAACGTGGATGATACGACTATTTCTTGACACAAACCTTTTTATTTCCAAAAATAAAAGAAAATATTATAATTAATAGAAAAAGAGAGAGAGAGAGGGGAAGAGAGAAAAAGAGAGAGCGTGGATCAATAGATCGATTGATCTTTGAATATTTTATGTAGCCGACGGACGCAAACCTGGTTTTCCCTCTTGCGCGTATCGATGGATCCGATCGTCCTAGGTGAGCTTATTATAATCGATATTAATTTTTCATCGATTTTTGATCATTTCAATATTATATATATTTTAGGTTGTGCTATGAGTTTCTTACTTAAAAAAAAAATATGAACTTATATCTCTTCTGTTTTAATTAACTTTTTTTTATATTTAACTTACAATTATAGTCAGTATTGTTCGTGTAAAATTTACTAACAATATGAAAAAGAAAAAGAAGTATAACTTCAAAAACTGTTAGGGCGATCTAATATTTTCTGTTTTTTATTTAATCATGCATTTTTGTCTGTTTTGTAATATAATGAGATATATGGCGACGATAAATGATATTACGTATTTATCTATTGATATCGTACATAAATATGTCTATTTTAAAAATATACATACGTCTAAAATATACGAGGGAGAATATCGCGATAATCTCGTTTCAAAATACGCGAGACAATGAGAATCTAAATGTCGTCGGTTGTTTTATATGTTTCATAAACTAACAGGATATCTTTATAAATTGGTTGAATATCATAGAAATTATTTGATTGATACTTACTTTCGATGAGAATATATGATAAATATTGTAACTTTTATTAATTTGTTATACCTCATTGAATAATAAATTGAAATTATAATTGATAATATTATTTGTCTATAATTCGATTTTATTATTTTCGTGTTTGTTTATTTAATTTAATTTAGATTTATTAAACTTTTCGGTAACGTTAAAGATCGTGCGAGAAACATTGAAAACATGATCGAACGGATCATTGCACTCGTTAAGAAGAGGAGAAAGAGGAGGAGGAGGAGATGAGTGTCATGTTACCTTTTGTAAGACTTTCGTCGAAACATTAATTCCAAATTTATTACCTTTCCGAGATCTTCAAAATGAAAATAGATTTTCTTCTCTGACATTTAAATAGAGTTCGTAGACTGAACTTAATTATTACATTTTTTTCCTGACTCCTCGAAAAATCTCTTTCATTTTATATATATATATTTTTTTTTTATAGACTTCCCGTAAAGTTTTATGGGAAATAACGAAGAGAACAAATTTCTGTTGAGAAAGAATCAGATTACTTCTATATGTTCATTTATTTGATTTTTCACCCTCGTTGGATGTCGATGCAATTATTTTTTTCTTCCGTACTCTTTCTAAAATCAATGAGAGAGTGTTACAAATATTTTGGGACATTTTTTAAATGGATTTCCTCATAAATTGCATTGGAGAAAGAGAAACGAATGGAAATAATCAAAAGTAAGAAAGAAAAGGGGCGCATTTCAATTAAGTTCGACCTATTTTCTTTAGAATCTAAAAGTAATGCGACAGCACAATGTTATGACTCGATTTGGCACCATTCTGACATATCGTTTAATAGATTATAATATAAATGTGTGAGAAAAAGTATAGCTCATTTGTGTTGCATTCTTTTTTTTTTTGTATCATTGTGCTCCTCGTGCATTTCATATTTTCGCACAAAGAAAATCCTAGTGTACGATAATAGTTACAAATATAAATATATCTATTTATACCTATTTATATTTAAAAATCAAAATATACAAATAATCAATCAGATTTACCCGTTAAATAAATAAAATTAATTCCAGATATTGTCATTACTGTTTATCTAATTATTGTCATTATAATGACGTTCAGTTTTTCCTTAGGCAAATTGGGACATTAGATACAATATAGAAACTTGCGTATATATTTGTTGATAACGATAATACATACTGCAGATAGAGATACGTGAGAATGAGATTTGGTCCATTCATAGAAAATACGCCTGCTGTACTCATTTCTCTGACAACCTCTGACCTTGTGGGTCCCGGATGCCCTGTCAAGTCCTTATCGCATGATTTCAGTCTTTTTTAAGCTCATCGGTCGTCGTTGAACGAGAACGAATACGAGTAGTTAGTGAACCAGAGAATCGTTCTTTAATAATTAAGCGTTATTGCGGAACATAATTATGTACATATGTATTACCTACATCAAGGAAAGTCTTTATGATATATATTAAATCAAACATTTTAGATACTTTCACTGTAATGTGTAATTTAATTAAACAGAAAGAGAGGAAAAGGAAGAGATAGAGAGATTTTATATATATATATATATATATAACATTACTCATCATTCTATTAATAAAAGATTAACAATATTATTATAATAATGAATCCATTATGCAATCTTATTTTGCCTTATTTTAATAAATCATTAATACCTACGATATAAAGTTCCTATTATTGATTTGTAATTAACGATTTCTTTTAAATAATCAGTGACACGTTATTCTATGGGCAAAAAAAATAATTTTCTAGGGCCCCCATCAAATAAAGGTCACAATCTTCAAATCAATATTTTATAAACTCATATTTGTAGTGTAAAAATAAAAAAGAAAATCTGAACTGGACAGAAAAAAATTACACACTAAACGTGGAATCCCCAAAATTAAAATTTCCTCAGGGCCCCATGAAGTCGTAACGCGCTACTGTAAATAATTCGTACAGAGTATTACATTTATTTAATTCTTACATACATTGAATCGAGAGTAACGTTTTAAAAATATTATCATTATCGGGCTCCGCTTTTTCTTCAGTGACGTTAAGAATCTTCGAAGTCATTGACACCAATACATTCACATATGTACGTGCAGTCGCGACTATAGTTCAAGACCTCGATATGTAGTCTGATATATTGGAAATGTACGGTCAAGATAGAGGATTTGAATATTCCAAAGGGATTTTCATTTAGAATGATATTTATCTAAGACAAATTCTGAAATTCTGTGAAATTCTAATTAAGAGAGAGAAAAATCTCTCATTCGAAGTTTTATATACACACTCTATTATTTAATAATTTATTATTATTATTATTATTATGCGTTATCGTCACCTTTGAATTTATCACATACTTAACTTCTATATTCTAGTCGTTCATTCACCTATTTATCTATTCGTGCCTTTCATTGATAAGAAATTAAACTTTTTCTCTTTCTCTTTCTCTTTCCCTTTCTATGTATATTGTTATATTTGATTTTAAAACATTTGCAACAAAAAAATCGATAATAGATAGAAAACAATTCGATATTTATTTTTGTTTGTTTGTTACCTTTTTATAGTTATTTTACTATGGTTTAAGTTTTGTTCTACCATTTGAGAAAAATATTTCCTAATTTAACGTAAAGGGGCTAAATAGATAAAAATCCAGGTGTATTTTCCAAGGAGGAGTCCTTTCCGTAGTAGAGCTAGGACACGTTTACAGATTTATTAACGTTCAATTAGTAATATTTGTTTTGGTTAAACAAAGAATGTAGCTTTTAAAATGCGACCAGACTATGGTCGAAATCCCGTTGACAGAGGACTCCGCAAATATTTCTGTTGGCTCCCGAAGAATTCTCAGGTTTTACCTTTGGAATCTGTTCGGCTGACTGTTTCCTTCTTTACTGCTACTGTTAAATATGTTTACACACTACTTTAGATATTATGATTTAGTCCAAATATTTCTTATAATATTTCTTTTAATTTTCTTTATAAATCATATTAATGAGTCGTTTAAACTATATATTCCTTTCTTATTATTTGTCTTGTAATTATTAATTACAAGTACAAAGTATTTACGTGTTCCATTACAAAAAGTCAGAAAACAAATTGTTCGGATAATCGCGATGAGAAATAACAAATGAATAAGACAACCCTTGGAATTTATTAATTATCCGTACTTCCCACGTCCTATTAAATGCGACGTACAAAACTATCATCGTGTCATTCGTCAAAAGACTCCCTCGTTCAATCATCGATGTGCCTGTTATTGCTAACGCCTGTTATTGCTAGAATTACTAATGAAATTTTGCATAGACGTCTCGTGACTTCTCGTGACATCTCGCAAGTAGACAACGATTGGCCACTTGCCACAACAGAACGAGCTGCTTAATGTTGCATTCTAAAGATTTATTATAGAGTAATAATAAGATTACTCAAGAAACGATAGACGTGTCTTTGTGTTAGAAAACAATTTTCATTTACCTAATAATCCTGATATCAAAAAATAAATGGAAACTAGCGGAATATATGGGGTAAGGTAAGGAATGGGGATAATATATGATATCAATTTATTAGGTTTAGCTTTTATGGGTGTAAAATTTGTATAAAATATAAAAAAAAAGTATAAATCTTATAAATAAAATAATTACACGCGCATAACACAGATGGGTGCAATAAATTTGTTATAAATTGTGAGAAAATATAAATCACATAAGGTTAGAAATTATCTGACTGAAAATTAGACGTAGGCAGGGAGGAGGGAACATTCGTTGACGTCGCCATAAAGCAAACTCTAACCGCGGATCGAACCGCAAAGATTCTTTACCGAAACGTGAAACGCACGCTCCCACTTTGACTGCAGAGGAAAAAGGAATAAATAAGTTTGAGGGCATGAAAAGTTTTTTGTTCCTCTATCGAATATATTTCGGTACCACTGTCATCGCGTATCCCAGATGCGAGCTCTGCTACAAACACACGTGCACACCCATACACCAATTCAACGTGTATAAGCGGGATATATTTTGCACGGATATATTTTAGGTAGGCGCAGGGAGGGTTATAGAAACGGGAGAACGAAGATAGAAAATAGAAAGGAGGAAGGAATAAATAAAAGTCTTTCTCTTAAATATAGTCGATACTTATAAGTACTTTTGGTTAAAACTACATTTTTCTGTGTTTTTTTCTTATCTTATTAAATGTAAGAACAAATTTTTCTGTTCATAAAAATTATTATTCTCTTCATATAATTTTCATTATAAATAATATATCTGGTACATAAAAAATAATGTCGTTAGTATCATCAATCAAAATATGTTTTATGTCACAAGTAAAAAAAGCAATAATTTGTTTAGCCCCCCCCTAAAACATGCTTTCTTCCATAATAATAAATTTTACACGACGAGACGTGACGAGTGTTATTTTGAACTCTCCCAAACACAAACGATAAATGAATTGGCGCCCGAATATGACACCTTCGAAGTATGCCAATACTACACGCGAATAAAGACTTTTATATTTATCACCAAGTTTCGTATTTTTCATCTGACAAAAAACGCCTACAATCTTGATTTTTCTAATCAGTATAAGAAACAAATTGATTAAAGCTACGTTTCCATGTGAAAATGAAAGAAAACAATTTTTAACGAAATTAAGAGAAGACGAACTAATAATCACAGACACATGCGAATGAATGACCGAGCATGTGAAAACGAAATCAAAAATTCGTTTTCTATAAAAGCTAAGTAATATACCGACAAAGGGGCAAACAGGGCTCCGATAATTAGCGAGTTAGATGGTAGACAAACACCGGCCGCGTTTTGGGCATCCATATAAGCGGGGACATATGTTCAACGGGTGACACTGACATCCATCACGCGAGATCGTGCACGCCCATTTCTCCTACACCCTTCGTATTTTCATTTTTTTTACCTATGCCTATGCTTACCCTCTCTTTTTATTTTACTTTTACTCTTGAAATTAATTTTTATATTATTTAACATTGATTATTGCAGACTACAAACTTTATCTTTTACACAATTAAATACTATAATATTTATTTTAAATAAAATTCTAAAATAATTTACAAATTAATTATTATCATACATATTATGTATTTTAATTATTTATAAAATATGTGCGATTGACCAAGACATAATGTTGGAATTTTCAATAAGAAAAATATATTTAATTAATGTATCTAAATAAAATATACTATACTATGTAGTAGTATTTTTTTTAATGTATAAATCTTTTCTCTCTAACAGTTAAATTTCATATATATATATATATATCACACATATTTCATATTATAATATATCACAAAAATATAAATTATATCAAGCAGACCATTTAATGATTTTCGTTATACAAAGGTAAAATTCAAAGCCGATAAACTATGTTAGAGATAACGGATGTACCTGAACAAATTCGTTGTAGAAGATCGAGTGAGCGCATCATGCGAATGCGTTCTATGGAAGCCCGAGTTAGACTTATTTCGTACGAATATGCACAAACATTTACTATTTTAACGTAAATGTGCATGTAGGTGTGTGTATGTGCCTTTTCACGGGGGTAGAAATCGTCTCATCGTAACGCTGCACTATACTAACAAATACGCACACTTTCACGCGTATACATACGCGAACAAACATTCTCGCATACACACATACACATGAACACAGACGATCGCGTAATATTATTAGACTTTTTCTGGCGAGCTGTGATGAATGGTCGTGCTCAAAGGCTCCGACGCGTGTAGTCATTTTACACTCGTGTAATACACGTATGTTTGACTTAAGAAGGCCACGACTTAACTCTTCTAAATGTGTGAGTAAACGCATATCGAGATGAAGAAGGAAGAGATGCGAGACGGCTTTTAACGACAATACGTCACGTTTTTTAATTATTTTCTTTTTTTCTCTTTCTCTCTCCCCCCTCTTTTATTTTATTTTATTTTATTTTACTTTAAAGCACTTTCATATTTAAAATAATTTATATACAATAATATATGAAATGAAGTTGGAGAAACGAGAGTAAATGGATATGAGAGAATATGTGTAAAAGGAAAAAAGTTCAAATCAAAGAAATTATAGCGCCCAGAAGGTCAGGGTAATGATAAATAGATTAATCTGTAAGAAAATTGTAGAAAACATTCAATTCTAGAAGAAAATCTCAGCTATAGATAAAGTAATATAAAATTTAATTTTATGGTAAGAAGTAGAGAAAGATAAAGAAGAAGTAAGAGCCACAATTAGATAAAATATAAAACAATATAGTAATGAAGATCACGGATAACGATCGTAGTCTCATTGAAAAAACAAACATCAGATCACGAATAATTTCAATACAATATTTATAAAATTCAAAAATGACTAATTGTAAAAATTAGAAAATACTGTCGAAAATAATCATAAATTTCAAGACTTTTTATTTTATAAATCTAATAAATAATAAAATTCAAAATAATAATATGAACATTTAGAAAATTGTGCGAATCACCATTAAAATAATCGGTATGGTCTTCTTACAGAAGAAGAAATAAGAAAATAAATAAATAAATAAAAAAAAAAGAGAGAGAGAGAAAGAGAGAAAGAGAGGAATACGGTCCAGTAACACAGCATCCCGACGGTAGAGGGGAATCACTCAGCGCGTTTAATGTACCGTGAGTTGCTTTACGGAGATTCAGGATCGTCATTAAAAACGAGAGCCAAAAGAGATGGTAGAAAAAAATGACGATGCAGTTGACGCGCAAAAACGGTCTTCTCAACCTACTCCATATACCTCCCATTCCACCATTTCTCCCCATAACCCCCTATAGTTCCCCTCTTCTACCCTGAACTCTACTCAACCCTACCCTCTGACCCTCGGCAACTTCGAGAGCTCCATCCTCCGACGAAACTCTTCTTCCAGGAATAAGAGGAGGCACCCAAAAGGGTTCCCTTTACGTCGACCTTTTCTTATTTATCGTATCCTCTTCGAGAGTTTACCCAAAAGTCGCCTTAGATTTCCTGATATTTAAAGGAAAAACATATTTATTTGATTTGATTTTAACAAATGTTCTAATAGTTCGAAATATGAAACAACAATCAAATCACGGGGTTTTGATAAAATTGAAAAAAAGATTTAAAGAAAAAAAACATTTGTCTTTGGAACAAGTGTATATATTTATATATTTAGGTATATAGATACTTATATTTAAGTATCTACATATGAGAAGAATAATAAATATGACAGTCAACAGTAAAAGCAAATGAACGTAAAATAGACCTAAATATAGCAATAAATGTCTACATAAAATATACACATATTAACCATTCTCTTTCGATCGGTTTATCGACGTTTATTAACAAAATAAAATAATATTTTTATAATTTTCTAATTAATTAAAAAGAAAACAATTCTATAGAACTGAGAATGTGTTAATTAAAGTTTTATTAATGGAATGAGCAAATTCGTGAAATTTAAGGAATGAATTTACAAATGGAGTTAAATTTGAGGCGCCATTGGAACGGGTCTCCTTATGTTAAAATTATAAATTCGTATGTTAAACGTGAATAGAGGATACTTATGTGGAAAATCGGGAGAACATGTGTCACTTGTTTTCGACGTAATTGGAACGTGTGTCTAACAAGAGAAAAAGAGAAAGAGAAACAGTGTAGATTTTCTGGTTTAAAGATAGAGCTTCCTGTCGTTCTTATGCTCGACAGATCGCCATGCGTTCGGTTAATCAGGAGAAATAGAATTTTCGGTGGATTTGGAATGCAAGTAGGGACGATTCCCTGGTCCGTGGGGGTAACCGTTTGCTAATTAAGCTTTACGGTAAGATGATACGGACTAACGCGAGTCTCTTACAGTCCTCAGTTACCTCATTGCCAAACGTTCTACATCTGCATCTCATTAAAACGAGTAATCATGGTAGAAGGTATAATGGTCACGATAAGAATGTAAATAACTATACCATTATCTCGGTAATTTATTGTTCTATCTTATCGATCTCGTAACACGTTTTGATAACTAAACGAATAAGATTAAAATGATGACAAAAAACTAGGGGAAGGATTAGAAACGAAATCGGACACTTTATCGATTTATTTCCGATAATCATCGACAATTTTTTAGGATAAGAAAAAAGAAGAATTTCATTTTCTTTTCTTTTTTTTTTCTTTTTTTTTTTTAGAAATGACTTTTGATTTATTCTAGGGCAGTTAGTTTTTTTTTGTATTTAAATTTGATTTTCCTTTGAGTAGTAACCGACAAATGATTAATCACTTTCAGGACACGATTAGTTTTTTAATGTAAAGCAAAAAAACGACGACCATCCTTTAAACCGAGTTCGTTGATGCGTCGTTGAATTTTCTTTCTAGAAATGAATTCGCTTAGTTATCGAGACAATCGAAAGAAATCGACATTAAAGTCGGCTCTCCTCATGAATAGAACCGTTGATAAGTGTGAAGGAAATGAGTGTATATATCGTTTAACGAACAAGAAGCATTCATTATTTTCTCTTTTTGAATGAAACTTAAAAAGCCTATCGAAGAAATATCATCTATCTTACTTATATATATATGTTACATATAGAGATATATAATATTTGCGTATACTTTAAATAAAAAAAATACTTATATCGATATTCACACACAAGAAAAATATATAATAAACTGTTTCTCCTAATTCATTGACAGAAAGCAGCGCTGGTGAGATCGGCACTCAACAGCAACAACAACAGCAGCATCAACACCAACACCAACATCAACATCAGCACCAACATCATCACCCTCATCAACAACAGCAACAACAACAGCAACAACAACAACAGCAACAGCAATATGGCGAGGTGAACCAATTGGGTGGGGTGTTTGTGAACGGTAGACCATTACCAAACGCAGTACGTTTGAGAATAGTCGAGTTAGCACAATTGGGGATCAGGCCGTGCGACATTTCACGACAGTTACGTGTCAGTCATGGATGCGTCAGTAAAATCCTTGCACGTTACCACGAAACCGGAAGTATATTGCCTGGTGCGATCGGTGGTAGCAAGCCACGTGTCACCACACCGAAAGTCGTGCAATATATAAAGCAACTAAAACTTAAGGACCCTGGTATATTTGCTTGGGAAATAAGAGACCGTTTATTGTCCGACGGTGTCTGCGACAAATATAACGTGCCATCGGTTTCAAGCATATCGAGGATATTACGCAACAAAGTTGGTGCTACCACGACGATGCATCATCATCCACATCATCCGGCCCATCATCATCATCATCTTTATGCGGCCGCTGCGGCTGCCGCTGGTGCCGCACTTTGTCCTGTTCCGTATCCACCAGCACCGTATCACGCTACACCCTCGCCAACCCATCATCATCATCATCACCATCAAGGTTGGTATATTACCACAATTCGCTAAATATTGTTCTTTTCTTTTCTTTTCTTTTTTTATACACCAAAGTCTCCATTATCGTCTGAAGTACCTATATTCCGAGCTCTTATTAACCACTTGATCGAGTGGGTATTTGACTAACTAAGTAGTTAGCAAATCAGTCTGATCCAAACGCCAGTGATTAATTACATAGGAAAGTAGAGATATTAATAATTTCGTAAGTAAGTAAGTACCCATCTAGTCGATTTATCAATATTAAATAAGAGCTCTTACTTGGTTGATACTTAAATAAAGATTTACGCGAATTAGAAATGCACTTTCTCGACGTTTCATTAATTAGTGTGATATAAATGTAATATAGAATAATATCTCTACGGTTGGGTTTTGAAAAATATTTGAAAACGAAAGAAAATGATATTGTAAGAAGATTTAGGACGTGAGCGAATGATTGAAACGACATGCGTCCATCGCAAACCTGTAGTATACATTCAGTTCTAGCAGTGAGCTCACGGGATGTCAGGCAACAGTCTCATCTCTTTCTTCCGTCCTGATAGAAGCGCGGCCTATTCATATACGAAACGAACCTCCTACCAATTTGGTACCGCTGCGTTTCCAGTTGGTACGTCAACGGCGGTCAAGCTGTCCACGTCATCGTCAGCGTCCTTGATATACAACAGCGGTGAGATCCAAGCAATAGCAGCTACAACCGCAACGTTGACAACACTATCAACAATAGTAACAACAACTGCAGCGACGACAACGACGACGACGACTACGACAGCAACGATGGCGGTAGCGGCAGCTGCAGCAACAGCTGGTATTCTTCAGTGGCCAAGTCCTCATACTGTCCAGGATATTTTATCAAATGGCACGTCAACCAATAATTTTTCTTTACTTGATTCACCTCATTGCACAAGCATTCTTTTCAACAATAACAATAATCACATTACCAACAACAACAACAATGTAAACTACCACGATCTTTCCCTTCGTCATCATCATCATCATCATCATCAACGGCTACATAATCAATTGCATCATCGACATAACAATGACGGTACCTCAACTAGTAGTAACAGCAATGCTATTAATAACGACGACAGCAATAACGGTAGTAGTAATGCCAGTTGCGATAGCCTCTGCAATAATAATAATAATAATAATAATAATGCCAGAGAAACAATACCGAGTGGATACCAAAGTATCTCTTATCAAGCACATCATCATCATCATCACTATCATCACCATCACCATCAACAACAGCAGTATTACGCTTCCGCGCTTTACCACCATCATCACCATCATCATCATCATCCGGATAACTTGAGACCGCATGCGACCGGCTCACCCGTTCTCTCGTCGGTACTCTCGGTCCAACCAATAATGATGCAATTATCGAGTGGTCAATCTGCCAGTCCGTGTAATTAAAACCCGGTCAATAAATGACATCTCATATGTTCATCATTGATCGATCGTTTGTTCGTCCAATTATTATTCAATTAAAACAATCTGGAGTTGTGTGAATTAAACAAGATTTTGTGAAAAGAAAGAAAAACAAAACAGTGCCTTTCGTAAATTCGATTCTATGACTCGTAATCGAACAAATTAACGAACTCAATTTGAAAGTACACTATAAGTATCCTAAATACCAAAGACTATTTCTATCTTTTTCTTTCATGCTATCTTCCTTCCTACCAAATTATTTGCGTAAACGAACGGAGTGATATTTTAGTGAAGTGCATTCATTATTTACATGCATGCAAAGAAGACTAAGATCGTCACACTTATAGCAAATTTTGTTCTTACAAATGGTAGTTACAATAACGAAAAAAAGAAGATCTTGGAAAATAATGTGTTACATCTCTGGTGAAAGTGTTATAATGTTATTTGCTATTACAAATGGAGAATTTTTTTCTTTTTTTCGTGGATTATTTGAAAACGTGTAACGTCATGTTTATTGCATTCTCTTTGTCTCATTGGTAGCCGCTGAGAAAATATTTTCAATAAATTCAGCGGCCGGTACGTTGTTTAAACATTCGTTCAATAAGATCTTTAATGTTTGTTGGAAACAAATATTAACAGATTGTTATCATTAATACGAGATTATCTATTAAATGCATATTACAAATAAATATGTATGCTTGTTGGTAAGGTAAGAAAAGAAATTGTGTTTTAAACGTAATAAAAATAATTTCGTAATTGGCACATAAACGTGATATTTGTAAAATCAAAATGAATTATTATAATTTTTTTTCTTTTAATAAAGAACCTAATGTGCCTAAATATATGACATATATCACATTTCTATGTAAAAGAAGGATTTTTGAGAAAGTATTAACTTCGTGTCTACGAGCAAATCATATCACGTCGTGCGTACTTATACACACGTATTACCAGTATTTAACATATTTGAGTTGATGATTAATACCAAAAAATCAGTACGCGACATAATGTGTTATTTTAATAAATATATGATGTTTAATTATTACAAAAAACTTTGTGCCTCATTGTTTTTTTCTTCCACTTATATAATATACATTTTGTTTAGCTTTTTAGTATAGTATGTATTTATACATATATATGCCATATAATCGTAAAAACAAATTTGGAAAATTTCGAAGAAGAGAGATACGCCATGCATAAAATTCACGCGCAATGATTCTGTAACTCCAAATGAGCTGACGAAAAGGGGATTAACCTTTCGTATATACAAAGATTATAAAAGCAGAGACGCTCCTACTTCGTCCAATCAGAAGCGATCGAGCGTGAAATCCCACCTCTTCGACGAAGTTAAACACCCACTCTTGGCGGACTTTGCTTGGAAGGCTGTAAACAGAACAACCAATCACAATTCATCTCTCTAAGCAGGTAGGTATTTAAATAAGATGTAGCTTTCTGCGAATGTAAAAGGAATCGTTATTAAGATGCAGAGATAATCTTAAATTAACATAAAGCTAGATAATATTATTTTATCGAATACTGGAACATTAATCAAAAGATAATATTGAAATAAACCGTGCAATCCTTTGTAAAATGAGTCCCCGTCATTTCTCATACAAATTTAACCTAAAAGCGTAACAGCAGCAAAGACGCTTCCGCGTAAAAGGGGGATTCGTCCGTCCTTTAGAGTAAAGTCAATTCTATGTATACCTACTACGTTATATGTTCTTTTCTTTTTTGGACATTTAGACACACATAATATAACGAAGGCCAGTCGGAACGGCGTTAGAAGCCGTCCCTTTGAAATTTGAACGTTCGTCCCTACTCCGCCCACAGTATTCTATTATATTAGTTTAAAAGGAGCGACGGGAGCACGAAATTAAATGAGAACTCGTTACTACTATGCGTTCTTAAGAAAACTATCATATCGGCGACTTTTGATTTCTTTTTTCTCGTTTTCTCATTATGTCTTATCAAAAAATTGAACTAAATGAGAAATTTTCCTTCGGTCTACGGGGAGAAGGGCAGCCATCTTGTTGGAGCGAATTTTTAACTTACCGTTTTTGAAAGAGAAAACAGGAAAAAGAAATCATAAATTAAAATATATTTGTTGATAAATAAGAAATAATAACAATCGTGCAATAAATACACTTGATCCTCTTTTATGCTAGTGAGATCCTTAAAATACAGGCGCAATATCTTCTTCTCGTGATGTTTCTTCCTACGGTACGACGCCACCGTGGAAGCGTTTCGCTCGATTAGGAGCTGCGCCATGATGGAAATGCGCTAATATAAATTGCCGAAACTAAGAAGGTTCTCCCTGTCTCCTTCACTTGCGGTGACGGGCGTTCACCGAACCTTTAATTTATAATTAGAATGAAAGTTCTCGAAAACCGACGAAATAAAAAAAACAATCATTATTTTTAATATTAGTACAAGTTCATTCATCAACCCATTTGTATAGGATCTTCACGGAAAGAAGCAATCATTTTAAATGCTTATATTTAAACTGTTATATTATTTGGATCGATGTGGTTTTAATATCGAATAAATTCCTGAAAACTAGGACTTTAATATCTGATTTTTAATTTCTCTGTTGTTGAAATTTAATTTTTTCTGAAATTTCCATAAATGATTCATTTTTATTTATCTTATTTCTGTATCTTAAAAATCTATAATAAAAACTTACAGCGAATGAATTGTAAATAATGTTCAATTTAAACTGTACCATGTAATCTAATAATTCTCACCATTCAAAAGTTGCTCAATACAAACTATTATCAACATATATATATAACATAATAACAATTATATATAAATAAAATCATTTAAAAATATTGCATCTTTTAATAAAAACCCTATAAATATTATTTTAATAAATACCATATAAATTCCAAACATTAAATGATTTTTCGAAACGCCCTGTATATTGCTATTTTACATACCAGTCTCTAGAAAGAGAAAGAGAAAGAGAGAAATAGAGAGAGGATTGGAGAAGAGGAAGGCGGAGCGCATAATTAAGAAAGTCTCAGTACTCTCTCATTTTCTCTCTTTCTCTCCTATGAAAGAAGACGAAGACATTGAGTTCCCTCTCGCGGTGGTAGGAAAGCGGCCTGCCTCTTTCCCCGTTTTACATTCGGCGGTACAAATAGCTCGACGACCCCTGGCCTCGTGTCGGCTCCTCTCATGTTTCTTCCTCAGAGTACTTGTCTCTCTTGTCGCGCACGCTTCACGCTTCTGCGCGCCTACACCCTTCCTTGTCTCCTCTCTCCCACTCTCTCTTTCTTTCTGTTTCTCTTATGTACACCCTTTCTTCTTTTAATCCGTCGTCGACGACGACAACGACAACGCCGACGCCGACGCTGACGCTGCCGCTGCCGACGACGATGACGACGGCGACGTCGACTTTTGAATCTCTACTTCCTTTTCTTTTCCCTTTTCTTGTATGCCGAAGAGTTGCCTGGCGGAGACACATTAGCCATATTCCAAGTTTGCATGGCGGAACACCTCCCCCTCCCCTTTCTTCCTCCTCTTCTTTACCACTTTTTCCTTCTTCCCATACCATCCCCACCCTATTCTTTGCACAGTTATTATGAGGATGGATTGAGGTGGGAGCCGCCTTCCACGTATCCGTAGAGACCTAATGCCATCGACTTCTAAATTGTGTAAATTACTAAATGAATGTGAAACGTTTAACTCCCACCACCTTATCCCCCTCCTCTTCTCTTTCTTTCTTTCTTTCTTTCATACTCTGAGAGCAACCCTGCCTTCTCTTTCATTTCCTTCCTTCACAGAGAAACCTTCTAACACGAGCAATCGACACACAGGACGCACACTTTTCGTTTGATATGCTTGACGTTTCCCTTTGATCATACAATTGTCTCGTTTTTCAAGCTCTCCTCGAGTAAGTTTTCTTAATGCTTCATACTTCTTCGTAGAAAATGTTTAGTTTTGACGAATAGAGTTTAATTCATTTTTGTTCGACAATTTTTCTTCATTTCTTCTTATCTTTTTTACCTTCTTTTATCGTCTTTCTTTTCTTTTCATTAGTTTTTGTATTTTAAAAACGTACATTGATTTAAATAAATATATACATCTATGTTTATACGAAGAATATAAAAATTGTGTCATTGAAATCATAAAATCTAATGAAATCTTTTATTCGCGTCCCTACTTATACTTACAGACGTTTAGAAATGTTTAATTATATAAAGTTGTATATCTTATGAAATATAATTATAATAAAAAGAGAAATCAATATATGAGAATATACAAGAGGAGAATTTTACTGTATCAAGAATTCATGTTATACAATTATGCTGAAGAAGTTTCTTTTTTTTCTTTTTTTTTTGTTTACTGATGATAGGAAAAAGTGTACAGTCTTTGAGCTGTCTTTCATTCCTATAATTTTTACTCTTTTAATATTTTTCTTGTTTCTTTTTTACAATTTATAATTCTTCCAATATTTCGAATATTAAAGAGAAAAAAAAGAAAGCGAATAGTCAAAGTTTAAAATCAACCAAGACTGCAATCACTTTTTTCTTACTTTATATTCAAACAATTTAGTCGGATTAATTCACGCTTAGATGGTCCAAACCTATACAGCTGGATTTATTACAGAATATATTGCACGCATTATTTTTGTACCTTATATTCTGATAAACACGTAATTATATTCTCATCAATTTAAATATATCGCATAATAAAAACAATATAATGTTCATGAATACAAAAAAAAAATATCGCACTAATTTGCTTAGCTATAAAGAAAAATGGCAAAATTTATACACCTTACTTATATATTAATAAGTAAAAAATTATTGAATTTTGTTTATTCAATTTGTAGAAAATGAATCATTACCAATGACTATATTTGTTTTCTTATTTTTCATGTATTTTACGTGAGAATAGAATGTGTATATATATTTTAATTTTAAAATAGTTGATTGGTTTTTAATTTAGAGAAGAACTTGAAATATTCGCGGATTGTAAGATATCCGAAATAATAAAAAAGAAAGACTTACATCCGATCCCGTTGATAATATTTTTATGAAATATGTTGAAAATTCTAAAAGTAGATTTTTGTTTGTTTGTTATTTTCACAAGAATAATAGTATAGTGATATTTTCACAGAAAAGTTATCTTTGAACATTAATTCAATATCTACCTTTTATTTTCTTTCTTTTGATTCGAGATATAAAACCACGTGTGTTTTATTGAAAAATATTAAATAAAAAAGCTCTCTAATCGCTTGACTGGACCATCTAATGTACGTTATATGTACAAACTGAATATCAATACTTAATGCTAGCCATTTTTTTCGTCCTTTTTGATTTGGTCCACTTGTTTATCATCGTCTTTCTCAACCGCATTCTCAACATTATCTTCATCCTTTTCCATTTTAATTGATACATCTATATCTTCAATTTTGGTTGGTTCTACATTGTTGTCTGGATTAGGATCACGATTTTCTTCGCCTTCTTCCACAGTTTGAGACACTTCTTCAGGTGCAGTCAAAGCAGTGTTACTATCAAAGTTTTGTTGTTGTTTGCCCAAACCTATTTGCGTTTCTATTAATTCTAATTCCTCGAGCAATACTTTTTCCCTTCTTTCAATTTCCTCTGTAACAAATTTAATAAAAAAAAATAAAAATTATTATATAAGAAAAAAAATAAGAAATATGTTTACGATATAAATATATGCAAATACAAACCGTGAAGTTCCTTAGCAGATTGAGTAAGTAAACTTTCAGTTTGAGGATTTTTTCGTTTTGGTATATAATATATAGAAGGTTGGGTACGCGTCTTTATAAAAGAAGCAAGTGATAGTTGTGCAGCACGCCAATCTTGAAACTGTCGACTCCGTGCTAACTTAGCTTCTAATGCTCGTACTTCTGCTAATTGTCGTTTACGTGATAAAAATAATTGTTGCCTTTCTCGTCGTAACTCTTCTTTTTCTCTTCTCCGTGCTTCTTCCACTCGTGCCTCTACTTCTGCTTTTTTATCTTCCTGCAATTATATGTAAAAAAAACCTTTAATTCTAGAAATTAATATAATTAATTTGTGTTTTATTAATTACCTTAGCTTTTAATTTGGTTTCTTCTAATCTAAATTTTTGCAAAGTACCCAAAAGTGCACCGAACATTCGTTTATTCCTTTGTCGACTACGCTCATCTGTTCTTTCTCTTCTAATTACTTCTTGACGAGAAGGAATTTCCCTTGGCGTAGCAATAACTCTCGACGACACAGCTGGCTATAATAAGTATATGTAAAAATGTGTAATGTTATATGAAACTATAAGTATTTAATATTATTTATTGTTTTAGAAAAGAATAATATTACCTTAATGGCAGTGTCATCTTCATCCGCACTGTCATCTGCAGTTGAAGGAACACGAGCACTCAAACGACTAAATACCGTTTTTGGTTCCCCATTAGAGGCCTGCCAACGCCTTTTTGTACCCGGTATTTCATTATTTATGAAATCTGATACAACTCGTCGACGATCTTCCTGCAATGGTCGCTTTTGGGAAAGTCTGCTAATAATACAACTAATTATTACATTTTAATATTCTATAAATATATGAAGGGAGCCAACTTTACTGCACCAATATTTTTAATTATTTATTTGATTTAGTTGTCACAAACTGAAGAGAAATTAAATTAATACTTAATTCTTATAAATATCATTGATATATTTAGGTTATATTTCCAAACACATATTGCAAGTATATTCTTAGATTGAAAAGAAAGATTTCAGTTAGAAATAAAACGTGCATTAAATTAACACCACTCATAGTTTCACATTTGAAAGAATAAATATTTGGATATGTTTAACCTGGAAGGGGGGTGTAGTGGTCCGTTTTCACCGTCAGGTAGGTCCCGGCCCAAAATTTTTCTAATACTTCGATCAAGACCTTTTAGTCCATCTCGAGCAGCCTCCAATTGAGCTTCTATACGATCGGCACCCCACGATTCTTGTGACTCTAACTTCCTCATTTAAGAAATTTTAATACACTTAGTGTAACTGTAAAAAGAAATCATTTAATTAATAACGTAGAACACGAATTTGTTGTTGGATAGCATTACTGTGAAGGAGGGAGCCACCTACAATTCTTATCCTTTGCCAGATCAATAACAGTTCGAACTTTTCTAGATAGTGGCAACGCTGAAAAAATGGTAATCTCAATATATTTTTTCATTAAATAACAAAACATTCAATAAATTTTTCAATACCTGAATATCTCAAACTAATTTTCATGTAACTATGAATTAATTCTTGAAAATTTTTTTTATTAATTTTATTGGGTGTACTTTGCGTCATTGTTTGCTATTGGTTGTCAGAAAATTTGTTTGATAGGTTATGCTCAATATAATGTCGATTGATTACTTTTATTTTTATAAATATTAGATTATTTTAAAAATAAACGTAAATATAATAACAATGAGGACCATTTTATTTACTTGAATTAATATTTTTTCTAATTGTTATTGCGCATGCGTAATGTTATATCAATGACAGGTGGTGACACGTAGTGACAATTCGATCAATTAAATTTGTTACAGTCGTATGTAGTATATTTGCACGTATTTTTCATTAATTAAAATAGAATGTAAGAAAATTTGATATTATTGTGAATAGACATTAGTCTTATGTTATTTAAATTTTACTTATTAACTTATAAAGTTTATTATATTATTTATAAAAGTATATAATAAGTTCGTATGATAGTACTATTTATTACGTAAGATTAAATATATAAAGATGTAATCATCCGAATTTACAAAATTTTTATTTCTCATAAATTATAAGAGAAAAAATCATTTTGTCATAAACAAATTTTGTTTCTTATATCGTTTGAATTTTTTAAATTTTATAATTATTAATATTGAATGACGTCAATTCGTTTTAGATAAATATGTTGAGGTTACGTCTTTCTCCAAATGCTCCAAAAATATTCAAACGCAATATTGGAATATTAGCACCTGCTCTTCAGAAAGCAACTGATCCCATTCAACAATTGTTCATAGATAAAATTCGTGAATACGCTAATAAGAGTCAGTAAGTGTTACGTATCAATTATTATTAATTGTATTTATATTTGGCACTTAGTTCGATCCTTTATTATTTATGAAATGAAGTTATTAGATTGATAATATTTGTGATTCTAATTACAGGGGTGGAAAATTAGTTGACCCGACTCCAGATATTGAAAAGGAAAAAAAAGCTGAATTAGAAAAACTCGCTAATCAGTTTGGTTGTGCTCCTGGTACAAAAATGTCTGACTTCCCATCATTTAAGTTTACTGGTACGTTGTGCATTCTAATTATTCGTTTAAATTTTAACATATTTTTTTATGAATGAATAATATACTATTTAATAAGTTTGTATATTTGTTTTAGATCCGCCAGTAGAAGTAGGTCTAGCAAAAAATTAAATATACTAATATGATTTTCAAGTAGAAAATGTATCTATAAAATCATTCAATATCTTAAAATTTTCATTGTAAAAAGATATATATATATATATACATATATACATATAAATAATAAATAAATAATTTAAGAAAACTTGAATTCTTATAATTTTTATTATTATAGTATTATAAACATACCCAAAAAAATCTTATTTAAAATATTAGCCATCGCTCGGTAAGAGTCCTGTTCTACTGATCATTTCTTCTAAAATACTCATTTGACATTTACTAGCTATGGACTTACATTTTTGTGCATACTGCGCGATTTCTTTTACATGCACCAATGTTCTATAATCGCCACCGCAAGTGCAACGTTCATCCATATTTCCTCTTTTAATTTCAAGGCATTTGCTGCATTGTAAATCTTGTAGTATGTATGCCATACTCTTGCGATTGAATGTATTTATTAATAAAAATTCAATTTCTTTATTATCGTAAATTGTTTCGCATAGAGGGCATTTCCACATGTACCTGAAGACGATAAAGATATTATTTATTTTGTTTTTAACACTAAACGTACCGATGCTTCATGTATACCTATTTCTATTACAGTGGATCAAACGACCAATCTTCACACAAGTTTATAATACGATGTATGTATAGCAGAAAATATATCATTTATATAATAAGAATTCTTGACTCAAAAAAAGGCACTATAATTTATAAGAAATTCTGCCAGAAAGTTTTAAAAAAGGTCATTTAACCCATCATTGTAGGTTCAGTGTTAAATATTATTATACTATAATATAATTATAATATTATGCGATAATATTATTCTACTTACTTATTATCTTCTACGTAAACATAAGTGTCTTTACAAAGATCAATATCCCTGGTATGATTACATCCTTTGCATATAATCTCAGGTAATACCAAAGATATGCACGGGTCTTTCCATTGAACTTCGTCACTGAAACTATTTACTCTTATTAATCTTAATAAGTTTGTTTGCAAATCGTATACTTCGTTCTCAAGTTCTTTGTCCAAAGATAAAACCTATGATTAAAAATTTTCATGTAAATTTTGATCTATTTTTTATATTATGTGTACTCTAAAACGAATATCAGATATATAAAATAAAAATAATACCTTGCATACAGATTTTGTTAATTCAAGTGCTGGATTGATCGTTTTGCTATCTTTTCCATCCAAATTTAAATCAGGATATTCTCGAGATGTTAATACTTTCTCTGGCATTTTTTTATATATTTTCTGTACAATCCTATAAAAATATAATACTATAAACATTAATATCACATACCAAGCATTTTAATTAAATATAAAATATTTACTGAAAGAGTTTTTGCGACATTTCTCCTGAAATAAGTTTCTTAGCAAAACCTGCTGTACTTTCCAATGCTCCCAGTCCAAGTGGTGCAGTAAAATCTTGACTATAATCACTTTTCTTTTTTCTGTGTAAAAGAGTATCAGATGTTTCTTCGTTTTTACATATATGTTGATAAATAGCACTTATGTATCCGGCAATAATTGCATTAAAAGTACTTTGACAAGCTACTTCTTTAGGTAAATAAGATGCTAAGTTCCAATTCATTACAATTTCAGGCTAAAAATGTCATTAACGATAGAATTATTAATTTACATGTCATCAATGAAATTAAAAAATTTAAACTTACTGCGTCATTATCATTATCGTTATCAGCAATAGAATTTCTTGGAGTGCAATTTTCTTCCACATGATTATTATCATCAGTTTGCATAGTACTTTCATCAGTAATTTTTGGCATCTTTCCTTTTATGCCAGCATAATTATACTATTTGTACATAAAAAAAAGATATTTAATAAAGATATATATTTTATTTCATGAATTATATGATATAAAAAATAACTTACAAAATCTAACCAAATTAAGTACTCCCAACATTTTTCAGAAGTCATTTCGATGCTATGAAAAAGTTCCTTGTCACGTATGGTAGTAACAACAAATTCTACATATCCTAATGCGTCTGATAATGTTCTTTTTTTCGTGCATACAACGATCTTACTAAAATTAGCGAATACAATGATACAACCAAGATTTTTAAACGCAGCTATCAATTGTATAAACAATTTTCTCATATAATTGCATAATGTACGATGTAATGCAGGATCATATAACAATGCATTAGTTGAACGCAACCACCTAAAATATTAAAAAACAATTAAAATCTTTTAGCTTAAAAATTGAACTTTGAAATAAAGTCTATAAGATTATTAATTACCTATAAAAATGTATTATTTGGTAATCAGCAAAGATATTTTTATAAATTGTTACATCACGTAACCATGCGTTTACCATAATCTGTAATATTTTAAAGGCTGGACTACATAGCGTAGTTTCATCGTAACTTGGAATCATGGCAGATGGATTACCACCTGTTACCATTTCCTAGTAATTATAAACAAAATTAAATTTAAATATAATGGACTAAACAAATATGCATCATAATGTTAATACCTGCAATGATGCTTTTTGTATGTTGCTGAATGCAACAAATGTATTAGTACCATCAATAACATGAACATTATGATGTTGCAACAAAGTGTTCACTGCAAGACTTTCTACATCTAATTCTACGCATACACTAGAATATGTAGCTGGATTATTTATAATGCAACTTGTAATTTCTTCAAAGGCACTCATTAGTCTGTAATTGTTTATTTTTTATTTTTATTTTTATTTTTATTTTATTAGAGTGTTCACAATATTTATATTTATTAATTATAAAATAAGGAAAATTACCTGCTGTCGTCATTTTCGTTACCACCAAGATCAGGCTTCTCAGTTGGAGAACACCACAATACAAAATTATTCTTCTGTAAATGTCTAGCATAAAATAAATCTGCTCCAAAAAGAGTTGGATCGGCTGGTACGTTTCCGATAGGAACATGAAAAAATCTGCATTGTTCTATCATTAATTCTAATATTTGTTGAATTTTCAGATAATGTCTAATCATCATTTTGGCACCCAATTTTTGCCATTCCATTGTGTTATATAAATTTTCAACATCGCGTACATGTGTATCAATTAATGGAAATTCATGAAGCAAAGGCATTTCAGAAGTTAAAGTTGTTCTATCTGTAAACAAGTCACAAACAATTAAATAACATTTATTAATAAATAATACGTTTAAGAAATAGATAAAATAGTAAACTATTACTTACCTATCGCTGTTTGTAAGATTATAATAGTATTACCATGTTTTTCATTTTTATATGCTTGTAATGCAGCTTGCAATACTCTGCACACTTGTTGGAAATTCGTTTCTACTTTGACTACAAATTTCATTCCATCGGGTAATATTTTTACCTTGTCTTCTCCAATTTTTTCTATCCTAAAAATATATTTAATATTATTACAATAAGACTGATTAAAAAAATAAATTATATAAACTTACATTGATTCTCTCTCATGCGTATACAATGTACTTAGGTTTGGCATTTGATTAGACGAAACTGAATCCAAGACAAATATATGTACACGTTTACTTGCACTTAAAAATAATCCCCATATTGATCTTTGACGATTTGCACTCCAATGATGGTATAAAAATATATGATTAATTGATTCCCACTAAAAAAGAAAAATTTTTTTTAAATATTAGACGAAAAGATATTCAAAATTTTTATATACATCTACTACCTGTTGAAGATATGGTTGCACAGCAATACTTTTAAATTGTAATTGTTCTAATAAAAATGTATCAGCTCCATCAGGTATTTTTCTTATTGATTTGGGATCCACAATACATATACATCCTAATTGAAGTATAGCTCGAAATTCTAATGACATTTGAGTTTCATAAATTCCTTCAATATATGGCTTAGTTAAGTCCGTAATTAAACCTCTATAAAAAAAAAAAAATATATATATATATATATATATAGAAAATATTATAACATTCAATTGTAGTATATAATCGTATAATTATATGTGTATTCATTTAATATCATTATTAATTCTAATAATCATTATTATATCCTACTGATTATGTTGTTGGTACAAGGTTTCTGGTACTGAATATTGATAAAGATTATAAACTTTACGCGATCGTGGTAAAATTCTCGAACAATTTCTCCATAATTGATTTGGACCAGGATCAGGTCTTGCTTCACGACTATTAACATAAAAGATACGAGGTACCACAAGACGTACTGTTCGTAAATCATTCTCCACCATAATCCACAATCTAAACATGCCAGGTTCATTTGTTGGGGTCAACTGTTAAATGAACATATATCAAATCAAATTTTATAGTACATATAGATCAATACTTATGAAAACATTAATTTATGTACTTCAACAATTTGCCACGGAGTCTGAAGTATTTGTTTCTGTGCACGTCGTAAGAAACCAGATAACGTTGTCGAAGATTGAGGATTTCTTATTACACCAAAACTAGATTCGTTGTCACTATTTATTAATTTACTTCTTTTCTTATTATGTTGTCCTCTTTGCTTAGCTTGGAATTGCCATTTCTTTTTGTGAAACTCCAGCCATTTTAAAAACTCCTCCTGTTTAGCACAATTACATATAAATAAAGATTTTAATAAAGAAGGGAAATTTGATAATAATTAATTTAATAATATGAATATACTTTTGTTGTTCCTTTAGGAGGCGGGGAACCTAATACTTCTTTCCAACTTTTATTTCTAATGTTATCTTCTTCTTCTTCGCTATTTTTTCTTTTTCTTTTTATAACACGTGCGACAGGTATCTTGAAAGTATTTTTTTTACCACCTATTAGATCTTCTATGTCGTCAACTTCTTCAACGCCCGTACTGCTACCGCTTTGATCATCATTATCATTATTAAAACCAGATGTACTTGGTTTGTTAAAAAAGTCAGTAATCTGTTTTTGTTTATGAGTTGCGTTCTTCTCCATTACTTTCTTATGTAACCAATCTGGATGTTGGACTCTTGGAACTGGATTTGGAAGCTAAAAGAAACAAGAAAATTAATTTCATTGTCTTTACATTTTTTTAAATATTGATATATGCATACCCCTTGCATAGCTGCTGGTATAGTAATAATTTTTTGTATAGTACTTCCAAGTCTTTCAATGTAATAACCCCAATCCAATATCTGTCGTATATCATCATTTTGAAGACTTGAATCTTTTAACCATTTTCTTAAATAATGTTTTTTCACTGCTGGATCTGCTTGGAATATTGCCAAAGGCACAGCCCTATAAACATAAATATAATAAAGTAATATAATTAGTTTTCATATAAAAATAATATAGAAATACAGTGAGACCTTTCTGTAACAGGTGCACCAGCAGGTTTTATAGCTATAACAGATTTACAAGCTAAACCTGCATCCTTGAGCATTTCATCTCCTAAAAATTCAGCCAATCTTTTTGCAGTTGTAATTGATATTGACTTTTGCTGTCCATATTCTTCTAATTTACGTGACATAGATTTGTTTTCAGTTATAAGTTCATACAATTCCGCATCAGGTATATTCGCACACTAAAAAATATATTTTTTTTTAATTAAATGGTATAACTTTATAAAAGACATTTATAAATATGTAATTATATGTATAATTTTTACTTTGCTATAAAGAATGTCAAGCCAATGGTTGGCTACTTTAGCGACAGACTCATAACATTCCACCAGTGTTTTACCATGCAAAAATGATTCAAAAACGGAAGATTGAAAGTTTTTAATTAATTCCAATTCGCCTCTTCTTTTGACTTCAAAACCTTTTAACTCGGCTAAACTACCATCAAAATTAAATACTGCGTATCGTTTCTTTAACTTTTTTCCTTCTTCTTTTGCTGCAGGTAATACCATAGCTAAATATGGTCCATCAACTTCAAAGAAGATTGAATTCTCGCTTCTTATTTCGTATTTCATATATTCAGGATCCACAAGATCATGATATACATCATTGGTAAATTTTTCCTATTTATTATAAATTAAATATAAATATTTACAACTTATTTTTTTTAAAATATACCATAAAATAATGATTATTTTTTGACATACTTTAACCATATAGTTCAAAATAGCATTAGGATAAGAAATGGTAAGTTTCTTTTTCTTTTCATGCGTAGTATGAGCAATCACATTATCTGGGAACGATGCAGGTAAAACACACCAAATACCATCCGTGTCTAATTCTAATGGTCGACCAATTTGTTCTATGATTTCTCTAGCTTTCATAATAATATGAGCTCCTGTATAGCACACGATACCACCCATTTCCATACTATGCCATCGTGATCTGTTAAATGTGAATTATTTAAATAAAAAAAAAATAAATATAAAAACTAAAATCATTTTAAAAAAAATTGAACATACAAATGATATATACCCTTTTCTCATGACATAACCATAGAAGGAATTGAGAATACATTTATGAGCTAACTGTAAGGAATCATATACTATTTCTCTGTTTTTCGCAGATTTAATATCAGCCGCATCACCTTGTGCTATAGCTGCTGCTACTTGCTGTTTAGCAGCTTTGTTTAATGCCTTATATTCATATCGTCTGTCTCTGAATGCTCGTACTGTATCCACGTAAAATGAATTTTCTTTTTGACAAACTACTTGAGTTCTTTCTTCCATACTTGTGATTTTTGCCTTTTTATAGACTTTCTTAGAATATTCTGTAAGTCTCTTTTTCTTTAAAGCCGCTTGTTCTTTTTTAGACAATTGATGAAATGCTCTTGGTGGACCTCCAGGAAAAAATGAAGGAAATTTTTCTGTTTCAAGTTGTTGTTGAATTCTTTGATATTCACCTATGTTAGCAGCCACTAGAAAACACAAATTAAATTAGTAGAAGTAAGTAAAGAAAAATAAACTAATATTATGATTTATAATAAACATTTTTTTAATTGTTTTAATAGCGATTATTTACTCTATAGAATATTTTATTTCTTAATTTATTATATAATGTAACTTACAGTATTCTCCCCTCCACATCCACTGCATTTCTCTTTTGCAAAGAGCTCCAGGTTTGTTATAATCGCATGCAGCACAAACAAACTCATTGACCATAGCAGAAGGCTGCAGTCGATTAGTTAAAATAATATTCGGATACATCGCGCCAACATCCAAATGATATATTACAGGATTTTCGAGTCTCAAAAGAGGATCCTTTAGCGATTGTAATTTTTTTTTAATTTCTGTTACAATATCATCAAAATTAGTTACCATATCAATTGGTACTTTTTCTTCTTCTTGAATTGCATATTTTAAAGCATTTTCAACTCCATCCATTAATTCATTTATCATGTTCGGTACTATTTTAAAATGGCATGGAATATCTGCTCGAAATATTCCACTTTCCAATGCTTCTACATGACCACCTACATATGTTTCTTGATCTAACACATGACCATGCTTAGTTAACTTATTCAATTCTGCTTCTTCTTTGTTAGGAAATATAATATTAGCTTTAAAGGCTTCTACCATAAGAAGAGACTCACAAAGAGTTCCACTGCCTTTTCTAAGCACCTACAATATATGATAATAAAACATATAACTTTGTTATTATTTGTAAAAAATTTTTCAAAAATGAGGTTTACAGACCTCATCGGGTTCTAAGGGAATAATAGTTGATAACGCAAATATAAATGGATGCACATATTTTAGATACAAATAATAAGTTGCTACTGCATCGGATACAGAATAACTTGCTAAAGTTTGTGGGTCTTCAACTGCTAATCTACACATTTCTTCAGGATCTAATTCAACTGGATTGTATCGAAGCTTTGCTTTTGTAACAGCTTTTAAACCTTGCGATCCTACAGGAAGATAAGAATCGCGTCTTACCCAGCTGTAAAAAATGTTACATGTAAACAATATTTTAATTATTTAAAATAATAACAATAATGTTATGTATATACCACAAACAATCCATATGCATAGCTGGTCTACTAGTATAAATTCCATCACGATTTTTTATAAAACCAATTTTATCTTTCATTATCATGTTATGTAGTGCCGCTCTTGCTTCCACAAAAGGCCAATCGAAAAAGTCACCATTGTATGTGACAAAAATATGTGGTTTGACATCAATGATATGATCAAAAAATTTTTTTATCGTTGCCTTTTCATTAGGTTCATTATAAATTGTAAACAAACCCTCAAATTCTGGTTTTGGTGTATATTCAAAATCGTCTATATCTTTTGAAATGATTTCCCTATTTGTTATTAAATATCCCTAAAAATATAACATAAAAAATATATCCTTTTATGACTCAGATTCTTCAACAATAATATAGATAATATTACTATTAATTAATTATGCAAATTAATTAATTACTTGTCCATCTATCATATATGATATCATCATAATTTGATCTGTGCTAGCATCAGGAAATTTTAATGGAAGCTTTGTTGTTTCAATATCGTATGCTAACACAATAGGATCTGGAGGTTCGATAATATCATTTCTTCTTGTAATAATAGCTGGATCAGAACCTCTACTTTTAACAGAATACCAAGCACCGCAGAATATACCAATATCAGTGGATACTCGTTGATGATGTGGTATGTCATATTCCCTTTGTAAAATATTTCTAATTATAGTAGAAAATTAAATAAGTAATTTAAATATAAGCATAAATAACATTTATACCTAATATCAAGAATATTTTCCATATGATCTATAATCTGTTTTCCTTTTTGTTCTTCGGTCGGATTCAAAACATTGGATAACATATCCGTGTAATGAGTACGACTTTTTTCTCTTTCTTTATTCACTCTAACAGCGCTCATTATTTCACGCCTTACTTTTGTCAAATCGACTGTATTTTCAAAATATATTTTTAAATACTTTTGCTTCAAACCAATTAAATGATTAGGCTGTAAAAATGATTAAAAGTTTATAGGAAATGAATAAATACATATTTTTTTAAATTTAATAAAAAAAATAATAGGTTCTCTTACTAAGTCTAAATCTTCTTTAGTAATCGATTCGATTTTAACAACACGACCATTGTATTTCTTATACAAGAAAGTTGAAACTTCTTCTGCAGTATCTTTACGACATAAAATATAAAAATATGGATTGTATGGTAAAGATATTTTAAATCTAGTACAATCCTCCTCTATGAAATAGAAATCAATACCACTTAACAAGCGTTTGTCATCTTCTCTAATTTCGGTCTATAAATAATGATATGTTTATCAAGAACGTTATAACATAAAAACTGATACTATATGATCAAAAATATTAAACAATTATATATAGTATGGATTGATTACAGTGTGCATATTAATTAGAAATCCAACTCTTTCTTTCGTATCAGTAACCGAGTGAAATCCATACAGAGCATCCACTCTTATATTTTCATTAATTTGATTTAATCTTCCTACAGAGCTTTCTCTAAAAAATACAAATAAAAAAGAAAAAAACAAAAAAAAGAAAATATAATGAAAGAAATTCATATTATGAATATGTACAAAATAATACTTATACAAAAAGAAACTAACTCTGAAGCATCACCAGGTTCAGGATTGATATCCTTTTGATCATTTTTATTATTTTTTCTATCTGATCGAAATTTTCCTGTATTTTGCAATGATGTCATCTTGACAGCTGATTTTTAACAAAACTAACACAAAATCAAATAATCTTTTAACATGAGTTTTAACAAATACTTCCACCTACTTTGTGTACTGAGCAATGATACACTCAACAGGTTACGAAGTTAAAAGCAAATGCTAAGTTACGCGCCAAAATTTGAAACGTATGCGCAGTACGTACATGAAATGCTATATTTTACAATTAATATTAGTACAGATATTTTTCCAAAAGATGGCATATTTAAACGTTTCGAGCGACAGATACGGATAGAATGTGAACTACAAGCACACAGAGAAAGTCAACAATAATCCAAAAAAATTGACAGCTTCAAGATACTATTTGGAGTTAAACATGTGATGACGGTCAAATATTTGAACAATTTTATATGAGAAATTTTATATAATATAAAAGATTTTAGGAAATTAACTATTCATGATTGATGTGAATCATTATAATGTTTGGAGAGATAAGCACTTAAAGGATAACAAACAAAAAGTAAGAATAAATAAATTGTCAATGAATTATTTTGTTCTTGTATATGCACAAAATATTAAAAATAAATAAAATAATATTTATACATTATATATGAATTTTATTTACTTATATCTTAATCAACTTTAGCAATAGATTCTGCACTCCACATTAATATACAATAACCATTCGCAGCCAAAAAACAGTTCTTAGTTGGATGAACGTTTATAGATAAGGTAGGATATTTTGATGGCCTGTATCCAGAAAGTTTAGCAACAACTTCCTGTGTTGCTAAATCCCATACCCATAATTTACCATCTTCGGAACCAGAAAGAATTTGAGTATCTTGAGCATTTACACTTGATTCTAAGCACAAATCTTTAGCCGTATGTCCAAGAAATTTCCCAAGTAATTCTCCGGTATCTTTATCAATTAAACGTACTACATCGTTTGCACAACTAACGACAATACACTGTCCGTCCCTTGTAAAACTAGCACATGTCACTGCATCTAAACAAAATTTGTTATTTTATATTTATACATTATATGGAGAAGTAATTTTTTAATAATCAATATATTAAATACCTTTCATGTAATCAGAATACATTTGACCAACACGAATATCATATCTTCTTATCTTTCCATCAAATGAAGCAGATAAAATTTCATGATCAGAAGTTCTAACGCTAGAAATTGAATCTTTGGCATCATTCAAACATTGAACAGGATCTATCGATTTAGATCTTACATCCCAACACATAACGGTATTGTCTCGAGATCCAGAAACAACCATTGTTGATTCTTCATTATATCTAACATCGTAATAAAAGTCCTTATTTGTACATTGTGATAATATTTATAAACTAAGAGTAAGACAATATTTTATTCTACCTCACAGTTGTTACAGGACCTGCGTGTCCTCTTAAACGTCTAGTAGGAGTTCCAGTACTTACATCCCATAAAATCAGAGATTTATCTAAACCGCAAGATACTATTTGACTGCTATCGCAAGATGCACAAGCATCCATAACTTCGTCTCCATGTCCACCATAGACTTTTAATGTTGTAGCCTTGTAAGGATTCCATAATTTTATTTTCCTATCTGATCCACACGTCACACAATATTCTCCATCGACTGTAAATTGTTTGTAGGTTAGTTTATATGAAAAATTTTAAAATCCTTTGCTTATGCATATGCTAAACATTTTGATAAAACTATTAATAATATAAATAATATGTACATACCACTGAAACGAACTGATCTTACTGCACCTTGTTTGCAATCAATTTCTTGTTCAAACTTATATTTTATTTCTATACCACTCATGTCAAAGAAAAATTTAAATACAATACTTTTTTCAAGCAAATCTTTACACTTCTTTATTTTAAATATTATATTTAGATTTTGCTAATGAATAAATACTTTAAATATACTCTACACAAATTTCTTATAAACATTTTGTACAAAATAGGTTACACCGCGTAAAAGATCATTTGAACAATTGCTTTGTTTTGATTCGTTCTATTCGAGTACTTATTTTTGTCATGTGACATAGGTTATTATTTGTATTTAATATAAATTTTACATCTTTGAATTTGATATGTCGTAAAAATTTAAATTTTATTAATTATTTAGAAAACTTGTTATCTATTACAAAACATAATATTATTTAGTTTTTTATACAACTGTTCGAAGTAATAATTTTTTTATGCAAATATTACGTATAAACTTTTCATAGGTTGAATCGATCAGATGATTTAGATGGACCAATGAAAGAACGTTCTTAAAAGAAATGCAATTAACGAATGGCGCGACAATTCGTCGGAAAAAATAGAATAAATACGTCGTCATCACGTTTATAGGTGTCTCACGTTGATATTTTTATAAATAATAAAAATAGATAAAGATTTCATTCCTTCGAAACTAATAAATGTTTTTTTTTCGATAAAACTAACAAAAAAAGCGGTCGAGTTCATTATAACGCAGAGGATATTTAATGTTACTTCGAAGCAGAAAAAATTAATTGAAAATTTCGTGGGTTCGAGTTGATCCACCCGGGTTTGGAATTTTTCAGCAAACATATTGTCGATATGTTAATAATACAATATTTTGCAAGATGTAATTTATAATGAATTCTTAAAGAAAAATTATTATTACCGATCGACAATAAATTATAAATTTCGATTTGTGATAGAGATTTCAACGAGGGATAAAAAAAATAAGAAGAGGGTGCGTGGAAAGTGAGATAAAGAAAGTCAATGAGAATCGCGGAGAGAGCGAGAGAGAAAATAAATATCGAGAATACCGCTAGAGTGAGAAAATAGTGGGAGGGAGAAAGAGAGAAAGAGAAAGAGAAGGAGATAGAGAAGAATGAACTGCGCGCGCAGATGGCGCGATGTTGATGCGTCAGAATCGGTGCTCTTGCCGTCATCGTCATCGTTTGCCGGGCTATGCCAAGGATGAAAAGAGAAGGAATTTTAGCTCGTTCGTAAGAGAGAGAAATAAAGGCAGAAACTAAAGGGAGAGAAAGATAGTGTATGCACACTACTATGCGCATGAATCGTCGAATATGAGAAAGAGAAGGTAATAGTAAGCACGAGAGAAAAAAGGATAGAAGGAGGGAGAGAGAATGAGAGAGAGCGAGAGGGTGTCAGAGAGAAAGGAGGGGAAGTAAAGCAGCAAACAGACAAGACGCGCCTTCGCGAAGAGAGGCACGGGAGCAGGAGCTCGTACTTACGGGGCGGACCACTGTTAGAGCCAGTCTTACGACCACCTCAGAGTATACATTTTTTTCTCCACCGTAATCGCACGAACGTTGTTCGTATCACTCGAGCGTTTAGACAGAGAAAGAAAGAGAAAGAAGGAAAGAAAGAGAGAGAGTGAGAGAGAGTCGTTGAAACGAAGTAAAGAGAGGGGTTCATGCGAGGATCATCATTGGAAATTACTATCGCTACTGTTTTTTCCCTACCGCGTGACTCGTATCTTTGAAAAGGACGAACTAGTGTACCCCTAGTTAATTTGACAGATATAAACATATTTATAATTTATTATTTCTCTTATTCCTTTCTTCTCTAAATTAAATGTTATATTCCTTCTAATATATATTTACAAATATTAACTTATAATAATAATAATAATAATAATCTCCTCTTTCTCATTCTCTTTCATTCCCTTTTACTATTTGTCTTTGGAAAGAACGAACAACCCAAAATTCGAATGCGGTTTTCCCTGTCATCGTTATTACTACTATCATTCTTCTCGTGCTCGTCGTGATAGTTGTTATTGTTGCTACTGCTACTGCTACTGCTGCTGCTGCTCTTTCTCTTGATCGATTCCCCGGCGAGGTTGCCGGGTGGGAAAAGTAAGCGTGCGTGCCGCAGACGACGTCTCGCGAAGAGAAACGAAGAAGTAAGAGGAGGAGAAGAAAGAGAGAAAGAGAGAAAAAAGAAAGAAAGATAGAGAGGAAGAAAGAGAAACGGCCGGAACGCGACCGCTTGCTTGCTGACTTTTCTTCGCGCCGTCTATATAGTAGTGGTGGTAGTGGTGGTAGTGGTGGTGGTGGTGGTGGTGGTGCTCTGGTGGTGATCTGGTGTTCTAGTGGTGGTGACTTTGCCGAAGGTGTATTGGCTGAGAGAGAGAGCCGACAACAGGACACGAGTAAGCCGCCGACAAAAGAGGGCTGTTATGGAGCGAGGTTGTCGTCTGCTTTTCCTGTTCCCGCCGCTACACCTGCTTACGATATTCGTTGCTCTCACTCTGACAAATGCTTTCTCTACGGACAGTAAGTATTTCTTTATTATTCATCTTATTTCGTTTCAACATTTCTTATTACCCGAACCCTTCGCATATATATTTTTCATAAATCTCACCACCAGATAGTTCAATCAGAGCTTTCCCTTCTTTTTCTTTTTACTTTGCGTGAACCAATACAAAATCGTATTTGATTGAACGAAATTTGAGAACGTCAATGTTTTGGAACATATTTCAGTTTATATGTTTTTTCAATATTTTCTTTTTTTTAATTTATTCGAATATGATATAGAAGAGAAAGAAAAGATTTATGAGAGAGAAAAAGAGAAAAAGAAAGAGAAAGATGTAGCTGCTTTACCGTGCGTGCCTTTCCGTGTGCGTACACGCGCGTGCGCATTAGACGGATTAAAAGGCGATTGTCTTTGAACGTGTACGACACGCAATCGTCGATTTCGTGTCACACTACCCGGTCTAACTTGTATATATATATATATACATGCTTATACATAAATGTGTGTAGGTATGTGCATATATGACCCTACGAATGAGCACGGTGCTTCTTTGCGTAACCATCTCGCTTTTCTGCGGTACTTCTTGACATAGAACGCGTCAGGTGTTAAGTCGAAGAGACAAGAATTGGCTCAATCACTCGTTCTTATAGTCTATATACCTATATACATCTTTCTATATATATATATGTAGACTTATGTATGTATATACGTATGTATTAGTCAAGAGAAATGTTCGTGACCTTTTACGAAAATGTGAACTAAGCTGTTTTTCATAACTGCTCGTTTAATTATTCAACATTTTATACAAATATAAATGAGTTTATTATACATATACAATATATATATACATATTTATATATATTGTATGTAATGATAGATTTATGCATGTTTTTATTATTGAAAATATTGCTCCTTATCAAATATTATTTTTTTTCAAATGTAAATGCAAATAGTATAAGAATCATTCTTGAGAATAATCAGTTATCAGTTTAAATTTTCTATGCTTGTTTGGATATTGCGCACGTAAAATAATCTTTGAACTATTTGTCAATGTTTTTTCCTATTTGATTTTCTTCCTTCTCTCTCTCTCTCTCTCTCTCTCTCTCTCTCTCTCTCTCTCTCTCTCTCTCTCTCTCTCTCTCTCTCTNTCTCTCTCTCTCTCTCTCTCTCTCACACACTTTTTACGTTAATAGAGTTAAATATCATGTTAGCAAAATTAAATCCCTTTTTTCTCTTATTTTTATTGGTTTGATAAATTTTAATAAATATATAATACGGTTGTTTGATATTATCATTTTGGTAATCTAATTTAAATATATTAATGGAATACATTATTATTCTAAATTTTACACACATGCTTTATTTATGTTTATATAATAATAAATATTATTTTGAAATGTAGAGAGACATTGATCATTATAATTGTCTTGTTTATCCAAATACCAACGAATTTATTTTATTAATTTTTTTTAATCGTGCATAATCGAGTTTTAAGAGATAATTAATTATATCGAGAGTAGCTCGTATAAAACAAAACTCGTGATAAACAAATTAGAAATTCGTTTCGTGCGTTAATCCCCGTGTTTATCCAAAATTCGTCAAACTTTTCGACGTTTGTCAAGCACCACATTTTTATTCCTTTTTATCGTCATTTCCAATGAATTTAAAATTATCTGCGATGGATTGTAATCAGTTATTAAACAAACAAACAAATTTCTAGTATTATGACGATTCAAAGAATTCTAAATTTATCAGTTAGTATACTTTTCGTAAATGATCATTTTAAAATCATACGTAAAATATTACTATCTCTTTTCCAACATTTTCGATAAGTCGTGTTTATAAAACATTTTTAATTTTATTCGCCTAAGTTTTCTTTTTCCATAAGATTTTTTTTAGGTCAACTATTTTTCGCAAGATTTGCTGAATCCGCGTTACGGAAGTCAGATAAGACGAAGGACGTTACTCGTGATTCGAAAGTGCATACGCAAGATTTTTTTCAATTAATCGATCTATCGTGAACTATGATCAAAGTTTAATCGTAATATCGGGAAGTATTCGTCGAATCAAAGCTGGATACTTTTTAACGAGAGATTATTTTACATTTCTGCGCATATTTAGAAATAAATAAATTACGTTACTAACATGATTCAGTAATTCGAGAAACGATTAGGATAAAACGCAATACAAACATTCGATCGGCGTTTCAATCGTTTCGATTTTTTTTTAATTGTTTATCAAATATTATATTACATGAGAATATATTATTTTTTGAAATCAAATCATACATGCATAATAATCATTCTTTAAAATGTATCGTATTTCAACGAGATTTTATATTTATTTACCATTTTATTTGATTATCGAATTAAATTTATTGATTATACTTACTGCGTATAGTTTCTCTATGCCTTTCTCTCTCTTTAATGATAAACAATTTAAATGAAGAGTGACAATTGGAGAAGAAGGAAAAGGGGTGAAGGCAAGGGAGAAAATAAACATATAAACACAAATAGTATAGACAAAACAATAGCTAGACGATTACTAACGATCAAAACAAGTTAATTGATATTTAACCCTTTATAATACTATGTCTTGCGAAGTAACACATTTAGACATGTGACGGTGATCAAGAAAGTCGTGTAATTTATTTGAAATATTAATAAATTTGCATATTACATTAGCACGTTATTATTAAATTCTACGATATTGTAAATGAATAATATTTTTTCAAACCAAGTATATAAACTCGCTTACTTTCTTTCCGTTCTTTAATAAAAGAAAAATAATTTTTAGATGATTCGAAACTTAAATCACTTTTATCATCACTCACTCGTTATTGTATTTTTTTTATCTTTTCATTTATTTTATCGACATAATGACATCAATTTGATTTTTATTTCAATATCTAGAGTTTTTAAAAATATTTTTCTTTCTTTTTTTAAATATAATTTATGCTTAAAATTAGTTTTAAGTGTAATTACACTAGTATACTCAACCTTTTCTTGCAACACAATATTCTTAAAAGATGGTCTACAAATTGCAACGGCTCTTTTATAACACAATATTTTTATAACACGGTTTCCACACATATAGCATGACTTAATAAATTTGGGCATTCTCATATAGCATGAATGTTAGATATAAAAATTACACACACGCTTATATGTATATATATATATATATATATATATTTTTTTATTATATAATTCTGTGTTGTAGTTGTGAATAAAAATTGGGTTGGTTTCAAAGGATTAAGCTTGACGTTATACAACTATAATAAAATGAAAAAGTATATATACACGTCCGTTTTACCTTCAACATGGAAATTTTACATTTTCACAAAAATATTCTCGAAAAAAAAAAGAAAAGAAAAAATGAAAACTTTAGTCGTTGACATTGATAGATATTTCAAGTTTCTTCTTCGAATTACATTCAATAATGCGATTACTTGAAGATATTAGAATTTTCTCAGAAATAACTACGAAACCAGAATTTATTTAAATTCGATGAACCGAAACTTTAATTATGCGGAAGTTAACATATTTCTTTGTCTTTCTTTACGCACCATCAATTATCTGCTAATTATCAACTCAACGGGATAATGGATTTAAAAGTTTTTAAGTAATTTTACAATATGTAATTATTCTCTTTCGATATTAAAAAAAGAAAAGAAATTAACGTAATCGATTCTGAAAGAATTTACCTACAAACTTTAGGGTCCACCCTATCACGAATTTCTTTATATATATAAAATATTAACAGATAGTATCTATATATTATATCTATTGATTTACTGAGATTCGATATAAAGTATACGAAGTATGCACTTTACTTTCTAGTAAGACGAACTACACATTCTTTTTTAACTTTTTGTGTTTTTTATCATGTCTCATGTTTTTCTGTTTTGCTAGACAACTTCAAGAAACTTACTATGCATTTAATAATCTATAATAATATATGTATACTTATAGGAAAATATTGATAATGAAAAAAATATAAAAATAATAACTGAAAAAGTAGGTTCTCTGACTATCTTGGAGTATTAAATTTTTAATAGAACACGATGTTATAAAGTTATAAAGCTTCCTCGTGTTGGATAATAATTTGATTATGTTCTCGAAAGCTTCTTGAAGTTTTGGCGAATCGAGAAAGAGTGAAAAATAGGGAAGGGAAAAAGCAAGTTACTTTGAGACAAGATCGTGTATCTTCGATGAAACTTCGACGGATACGAAAGACGACATTAATCGTGTGGCTCGTTCATTAATTCTCTTTTTGCTTGAAATACTAATGGCGTCCTTGCTATATCACGTGTTCTTAATATTTCAACAATAATCGTTTTTCATGCTCGAGTTAAGGTTTCTTCTCTCTTAACCGTTTTAGTGCCAAGGGTTTTTAAAAATCCGTGTTGGATTGTGTCATGCAGCGCGATAGCGCTTCGTTCATTTATCTGCAAGAAATGCTGGATCGTCGCGATCGCGCTGCTCATTCGCTACATTCGGAATTGATAATAAAACGGTTAAGATATGTGTAATAGAAGATATATTAGATAGATTAGAATTACTATTAAATCGTGTATTAGAGTTGTATGAATAAATTAATTCTGTTTAAATTCCATCTTTTTCATATCTAATTAAAAAATAATACATTTTTTTTTTTTTAAATATTATATGTATATATGTGTGTGTATATATGTAGACACGAATTTATGACGCGGATTTTTATTACCTTTAAAATGATGTATTACAGGGTTGAAAGTAGCACTTAAAATTTCAAAACAGGGATAGCTGGAATGCAAGAGATTGAACATAAAATTTTATAAATATCTATTGATTTTCAATTTTCTCTTCGACATTTAAATGGATGCGTTTTTATTTAATTTTTTTTTTTCTCAAAATAAAAATTACCTATAATAGAGAGCTAGATGGTAAATTTAAAAATTAACCCACTGAACATGTGTGCATGACATATATTTCAAATATAAATAGAAGAATATTAAATATTTAATTTTAATGTGTGAACCAAAATGTCTTACTTACATTAGTTGATTTAAAAAAAGAAATAGTATAGAGATTATTAATTTTTAATAATAATTGATTACAGAAACTTTTAGTCCAGCCAGTATTTATATTTTTATGTATATATTATGTTGTTGATCACTTTAATAACATTGCATAGCGAGAATCAGTAAAGAAATAATTGCCAAATTTATTTCGGATATTTTGAAACACCAAGTTTGTTACACTAAGTGGCATATCATCAATGTGTATGAGTAATAGAGAGAATGCACATATAACTATCTATGTATCCATATACATATACATACATCGATCGTATACTAAAGGTACATAAACGTCGTAAACTGGAGGAGAGAATCTCTAGCAACGAAGATATTATAGTAGATATTCCCACGAAAGAGAGAGATAGAAAGATAGAGAGACTGGTTCTGATATTTTTGTCATTTCTCGCCAACAGGTAAACCGGCTTGTCCATTAATACAATTTCGCTGTGCGAACGGCAGATGTATACCTCCGACTTGGGTTTGCGACAAAACTGACGACTGTACGGATAATTCTGATGAGGATCCTGAAAAATGCAAAGGTAAGAATAACAAACCAACAAATTATGAATTAATATTATACATAAGAATATTTTTTACTATGAATACAAAACAAGTCCAAAGTTCCCAGTTGGGCTGATAATTCGTAGACGATTTCCAAAATTAACTACTCCGTGTTTAGACTATCTTAAATAATTTTAGACGATCTTTTCAGATTATAACTAAGTTTCTAAATGTGTAATTTTACTACCTACAAAGTTAAAGTATGGTCTATATAATGCCTCGAAAGAAGAGAAATTTATTTTTAAAATCATCCTGTATTATTTTCGTTTCTATTTGAATTATATATTAACAAATTTTTAAAGATTTATTCCAAAGTAATATTCAGCATCATTTGTAGCATGTGCTGTAAATGTAAGTTGAAGTTTATTTGAAAAATACTATTTCGAGAAAGGGTTAATTGGAAATCGTTTTCTATATTACCAATGGCATAAAGGATTCGATTTATTATTTATTTTTAATTGGTTACTTAGAAATATTTAAATTTGACTTACATTAACCAACATTGGCACTGGAGCCAATGACGTTGCTCTGGCTATGTTACCTTTTGCCGTATTTAAAGGGTCACCGAACATTACTCTTTCCTGTTGATGCACTTATGCACATTTACAGTGAACGTATGCACGTATGTGTAAAACATGCATGTACGTGTATTTATTTCTATCAAAAATCACTAGGTACGAAGCCAAGAGTATCGATGCCAGCGAACGAAAGAAGAACAACGAATTTTTTTTATCTTATCTAAAGATTTATTTATGATGATTTATGTTATATATATATTCGTTATTATTTCAATTAATAGATAGTTCGGAACAGATAGATGGATACATTTAACAAGTAGGATTGCTATTAAAGACAAATGTTAAATCAAGTAAATTTCATCGTCGATCAATTGACATAATCACAGCTTTGATTAGCTTTGGCTTATTGCAGAGCTGCATTAGATATTCACATAAATGTGTATTTATGTATAGTATCTGTTTAGACATCATCGACGATTGATATTGCATTTAATCATTACGATTTAATCGAATTTTTATATTTTTGGTTATTATTATACGTATGAATTATTTTTCATACAAGCTTTACAAATATTCTATCTACGCAGAACAAAATCCAACGATAATAATTAAGTTCCCTTCTTTTATATTTTTTCTTCAATTTTTTTTTCTCTCATTCGTTTAAAAGAATTAGAAACCAGATTGGACTGTTCGCATGTTGTTGAAAAATTCAGAAGGTTCTAATCTCGATAAATATATGATTGTATGTCTTTTATGCAAGAACCAGTTGTCCTTGTTGGTATAATTTTCTTCGACGTTACAACAAAATCTTGCACCTTCCGTCTTGGATTGGTTTATTCGACATGATTTTTCCTCTTTTTTTTCCTTTTTTTTTTCTTTTTATAAAAAAAATGAAATATTCCAGAGCGATAGTAAGTAAATACTTGCTAAGTGTGTTTGGTATCCCTCCTTGGTATAATATAAGTACGTACGCGATTGCAACATATTGATAATTATGGTTTTACGAATGACCTCGATCCAGGATATCCTGGGAGACTTTAAATGTAAGTAAGAAGAATTATGGCAACTAGGAAGAAAATCAAATGAGGAAGAAACAAGGAATGACCAACGCCGTCTATCGATCATCAAATCGTTGCAATCTTTTGACGATCAACTCGATATCTCGGATTATCAAGATCGCCTAATTAAATATGGAAGATCGCCTAGGAAAAGCAACGTAATAATTCTAATTACGTGCTGTTTCTATTTTCTTCTTTTTTTTTCTTTTTTTTTCCCCCTCGTATCCAGTTATTTTTATTTTTCGACTCTCTCAAACAACCGGAAAACCGCACTTAAACGTTAAAATTCATTGCGTGGTAGGTAATCATCAGGGAAAGCGAAACTCGGTGCTTTTTACCTTCCTTTCTTTCTTTCTTTCTTTTTTTATTCATATTATATAGAACAACAAGAAAATTAAATAATAATAATAATAAAATAAAGAAAAAAGACCAATTCTAAGAATAATATTAGATAACCAAGAAATTACATGCCGTGTTTATAACTTATCTCTATTGATTAAAAATGACACGAACTTTCTTGGTTTCTTGATATCTAATTGAGAGAACATTTGCATACATTAGTGCAACGATATCTATTTGAATAGTAAATAAATGAATGCAAGAGTATCGATGAGAAGGCCATCGAGATCGGAGAACTTTATTGGCGTGGCAGTTTTCATTTTAAAAATGACAGACCGATTAGAATCTTTATCACAACTTCAAACGTCAAATCTAGAACGATCTTTGCGAAAAATCTGACGATACTGAAGATAGGAAAAGGTACTATAGATAGGGAAAGAGAGAAAGAAAGAGAGAGAGAATAAGAGAGAAAAAATACTACACGTGAGTACATCAAAAAGGTATCTGCTATAATACATCACGTTATCTTGCTAAAGCGAACGTGCATAGTGCACACTCGTGTATTTTCAAACGTATACGAACAAAATCTAAAGCTGGGATCAGTGTATCGGGTTATTACCAACGATTCACTCTTTCTCTCTCTCTCTCTCTCCATTTTTCGACATTTTTCAAAACATTTTATTTTATTATTTGAAAAAGCTTGGAATTAAACATCGTTACAAATCTTAACGATAATTGACGAGACAGTTTGATTGAAAATGTCCGTTAAAAAAATAAATAAAAGAATTAAAAAAAAATATGCAAAAATATGACTAAAAAGGACACAAAACGAGATTATCCGAACGACATGTCATACGAATAACGAATATAATTCTATTTCAAACAATGTATTATATATAGAATATGAAAATAGACAGTATTTCTTCCTCCATACATATATATATATATGTGTGTGTGTGTGTGTACGTGTATTAATTCGAAGCAATACGAATACTGAATATGGTATTATTTTCAAAATGTACAGATAACAAAAAGGATTTATTGAAATAATAAAACTAATGTAAAATTCAATCGAACTGATTGATGTATACTTACGAATTATTATCGTTGAAGAAAATATTCAGCAAATCTGTTCTTTTTTTGGATTCTGAAGACTATATTATGGTAATAGTCAAAGGAAAAATAAAATTAAATAATTGAGAAAGTAAAAAATATCTATGTTCAGGATTACTATTTAGAAATGTTTTTATAGTCCATAATATTTTGATCACAGGGTTAGTATCGTCGTAGAAGTTCAGAATGTAGTGCAAGGCCACGAATTCCACGAGCCATCAGTCTCGATCGTCGCAAAGAGGAACGAAGCAGTTTGGAACGTTCCTTCTTTCTTTTGCAGTCTCTTTATCTCTTTTTATCTTCCTTACTGGAATCTTCTTCCTTTTCTTTATCTCGTTTTAGTTGTATATATGTATGTGGTGCGCGCACGTGTGTGTGTGTGTGTATAAGAGAAGATCTCGTTGAAGACAACAAACACAACAAGAACATACTACCATCATCTTCCAGATCTTCTTCTTCTTCATCATCTTCATCATCTTCTTCTTCTTCTTCTTCTTCTTCTTCTTCTTCTTCTTCTTCATCTTCATCCTCCTCGTGATCTACCTCATCTTTCTTTTTCTTTTTGGTCCCTTCGTCTTCGTCGTATCTTCCTCCCCTAAGGCTGTTGTAATTTATAGCGCAAGGCCTGCACCGATTGCATCAGTCGATGCAGACAAAGTAGCAAACGATGCCGAAGAGATGGGGAACAACCAATTCGGCGTTCTCTTCTTACATACACGTATATATACATTTACACAAATACATGTAACAACCATACATGGATATATAAATGTAAATGCATAGTCGGCGGGTGAGATACACAAGCATGTAATTACGGTGAAAGCCAGCCAGTGCTCGCTCTCCGATCATGGATGCCTCTTTTCCTCTATGGTAACCCTCATGATTCCTAACGCCAAAGATTTAGCCTCGACTTCAAGTCCGATGTTTATATTTCTCAATAGTACGAATAAGAACATTTTCTTTTTTTTACTTTTATCTCATATTTATTTTTTTGTTTATTTATATTTTTAATTATATCTTTAAAATTTCAAATTTAATTATCCCATTTTTATTTTGACGTTAATATATAATATTTATAATTTTAATTTCTCCGGTAAACGTTACTATCCATCTATTCGACAACGACGCTTATTAGATAGAAAAAAATTATAAAAATCAAGTAAAATCTCATTTAGAGTTATTTAATTTTCCGAGACCAGGTCAACCTTATTGAAAAACAAGAAACGTTCTGTGAACTCGACGCGGTAATTTGAGCGAGTCAATTATTTTCTTTTCTTTTTTTTTTTTGTTTCTTTGACTATATATCAAAATATCAAATCTAATAATCCCTGTTCTCTCTCTATATATATATATATATGCTATTTTTATTATTATTATTATTATTATTTATAATTTTAATCTATCTAATAAACGTTGTGTTATCCATTTGTTCTCTCAACGACTGTTGAACGACTATATATATCGAACGACGATTATTAAATTAAAAAAAAGACAATAAGAAAAGAAAAGACTCGTTCGAAATGTTTTCGTCCTGAGAGACCAGGTCAAGCTCATCGAAAAAACAAAAAGGTTCGCGTTCCCCGAACTCAGCGCGATAATTCGAACAGCTGCACTCTCGTACTGGGTGAACACAGCTGCTCTTCTTTCTATAAGTTTCGATAAAGGAAAAAAGGATCAGTTTCTAACGTTTATAAACGTGTTATATTACCGAAACGGAATCAAAAGTGTTACCGATTCTCCTTCCGTTCTCCTTCCGACATTTTTAAAGGCTTCCGGTTCGTCAAATGCACGCCTACGATACATTTTAATACTATGCTCCTCACGTAGGCGCAAAGTCTTAAATAAAAGAAGAGCCGGGTTTCGTCAGCATGTTACTGCGCATCACGATTCAACCTACCACCGCCTACCGCCATCTTTTAATACACCTATACTTACATAGTACAACTATGT